GGGCTATTGACAGCAGTAACAAAAAACTTTTCAATGTCCTTTTATTTCCTCTTTTAAATTTAGTTTCCCTTAAAGAGACAAAAGTGCTGCTTAAACCCCCTAGAAAATAAGTAAAATGAATAAGTGTGAAATATTCTACTTCTATGGTGGAATATAAATAATAAGCAACTATATAGAGTTGAAAAATAGAATATACTGAATGTAAATGAAATAGAGGAAAAATGAAAAAATCTGGAATACACATCTCGGAAAAATAAGAAAGTCTAAACCGACACAGAGGTGTGCTTGCTGAAGACTGTGCATGTACTAGTATAAATTTTTCATTAAATGGTATTCATGACCATCTTAAACGCAGTTATATATTAACTAATGACCAATTATCTAGCTCTCACCGAGATCCGGAAACTCCTTTTCGTCTATGCACTGCTACTCCAAGTGGGTCCTTTTCGAAATTCCCATGTCGTTAAGAAGAGTGGATGACAGTCTTTCGTGGGTTACTTATGTCACGGCAGGCCTTTCTCCTTTACACACTCCCAGTTGCATTATCTCTTCCTTTCCCATATCAAACCTCACTCTCCGCTACATCATCACGAGTACTATTAGTTTCACCTAAGCCGTGGGCAAGCACCATCGACGAAAAAAGAATCGTCTTCATCGCTTCGGTCATTTCCTTCGGGCGTAACGCTGAATCGCTCGAAAGAGGTGATTGCGCCGGCGGCAACCCACACAGCACTGTGATTCTTTTTTTCGTCACCGCTACCGTCGCTGAAAAGCGCGCCGTTACGCAACGCCCACCTTTCGCTCGCAAACACGGAAAAGGGTCGACGGCACCCTGTCGGGCCAACACGTTAATCCCCATTTTAGACCTCAGAGGCTCTGATAGAGACTTGAAGTGGAAGGGGAAACAAAAGTGGCTATCGGTGATTTCCTTCAATACCTGATTTGCATGTTTGACGCGGGCATCGCATGGAAAGTCTTCGGCAGTCCGACGGAAGATCGAAGGCATGTCGATAGTTTGCGTCAGGCGGTAGGTGTTGTTATTGGTAAAAGCAACATCCAGTGTCCATACCTGATAAGGCTGAACCTTGCAGTCTGCCACGTCCTGCTGTGGGGTTGTTGAAACAATGCGCCGGTTGATGATGCAGTCTACGCCGTCAAGCACCCAGCGCTTTGTTCGGTTCGACAAAACCCCCTCGACAGCCTCGACGCCGTAGTGCCCACCGACGCTCGCAATAAAATCGGTGAGGTCGGCATTAAGAGTACCAGGGCGGAGTAAATGGGTAAGGCCGAGAAGTGCTACGCGGGCGGCCTCGATAGCGTGGCTTGCTGCATGGTTGAGCAACGAATGGCTTTCCTTTGTGTGGCCAACTGCCGCATTATTCCGGATTCGCGCTTTAACAGCCTCATTATCCTTTTCTTCTTGCTCTTCGTTTAAGGATCTGGCGGAAATCTCCCTGTCATATGGTACCACAACCGTCCGAGCTGCACTGGCAGGATACCCATCAATATGGCAACCGAGGTGGATCTTCACGACCTGCGCGCCACGCAGCACCGCAGCTTCCTCAGAGCGAAATGGCAAGTAATTGCACAGGACATCATCTATAGAAATATTGGTTGGGTAAGAGATACCCTTGGCGATTTTTTTTCCTCGTTCGTCCTTCGACTTTGTAAAGAGTCCCTTGAGGCGAGTAGTGATTTCGGTATCACCGAGGTCGCACAGCTCCTTGACGTTGGCGCCCGCCACGCACACCCGGGAGACAACGTCGAGTACCTCGTCCACGACCTGTCCTGCGGCCCTGTACTTTGCCATGACCTCTGCCTTGTAAACGGTTTCACTCTCATCCTCACTCGCCTCCATGTCCTCCTCCAAATCCGCCTCCAGAACGGCAAGGCGTGCTCGAAGCTGCGAAGATACAACTGATGCAGAACGTAGACGCTGGATGCGATCTGCATCCTCGCCATCCTCCACCTTCCGCTGTTTAAGGACACGAAGCGTTTGGCTGCGTGATGTGGAAAGGGTAGAGGACTTCGCTTTTCCTTCCTTCAAGCTCGCATCCGCGATGTCGGGGTGCGTCCTTTTCGGACACTTGTTTGGCTCCCCATCGATTTTCGAATCGCCACGCTGCTGCAGCTCTTGTCGGAGCTTGTGAATGGATGCAGAGCGCTCTCGCTTTAGGCGTAATGTCGGCCTCTGACTTTTACTACGGCTTACACTGTACCCACGAGCCATGAATTCGGTTTTATGAAGTACCTGTTACTTCTTTGTTTCACGTGGTTGGATTTACTTAGACCTAAGTAGGTACTTGCTCGCTCGCAATGTCGTTTTTGAAGAAATATAAGGGACAAAATAAGGATGCACCGGTTCCCTGTGCTTAGATAGTGTAATAAATGTGTAAATAATAATAATAAAAGACCACATAATGAAATAAGGAATGAAAGAGCATTAGAAATACCTAAATCATTGAAAATATAAAACCGATCAAGCGAAAGCTGTATTTCGAGAATGCTAAACATAAAAACAAAACGCTAACACCACTTTCCCTTCTATACCTCACTAATCTACCTTGGAAGTAATTCTCATCTTCACATCCGCAACAGTTTAGGAATTTTTTTGAAATTTTCTAATTAAAAGACATATCATAACCTCTTACACTATAGAAAACGACTATTTGATAGCACAAATAACTGCGACTCTTTGCTCATATCTTTCCAGGGAGTCAATCAACAATCAAAGGAGAGAAAAAAATAATTAGTCGACTATTTTACTACTAGTTACTTAAACCCTTTGCTTCTACTTTCTCATGGCAGAAATAGTGTCATATTCATTTCAACAAAATACAGTTTTGGATTACACTCACTTTTCTTAAAATCACATATATGTATATGATGGCGACTCAAAGGAAGATACATATTTTAAACAATTTTCTCATTTTCACCCACTGTGATAAAGATCATAACAATCGCTTCCCATTATTGCTTCCCTGATTACTATTTTTTTATTATTTTCCTTGCTGTTATTGTGTCCATGCGTGCGAATAGTAACATGATTTTTTGTATGAAGTACACACGAAAATGATCTTTATTTCATACAGACTAATTATTCATGTCGTTTGTTACTCAATAATAATTATTGAGCACGCACACACACACAAGTGTAGCGGCCAGTCTGAAAAACGCTTTTCAAGGTTGCCCTATTATGATAAAATGATAAATCACTTTAAACACCATACTTTTCTCGATATTACAGTCCTCTATGAACACGGCGGAGCTCTTCCAACTCACGCTCAAGTTCTTTCAAACGCTCGTTATCTGAGTTGTCAGAATTATCATGAGTATCCGTCTGGCTAGGCTGCTGCTTTTGAGGTAGTGGCGATGGCTCCCTTCGTGTATTCCTTTGGGACACGTAGGAATTTTGATCTAGCAATAATTCTTCCGCTTCATTCAAGGGTTTATAAATATCGGAATCGTAATGGGCGCCTTCAAGAGACGAGAGATGTAAAAATACGATATCATGATTGCAGGGTATAGATCCTGCCTGTGCGGTCAGACCAATATAATAAGGATTTTCGGGGGTGCTCAGTTTGATGTTCTGTAAATTGAAACACAACTGTTCGTCTTTCTCGTCATTACCCGAGAGAAACACCTGCAAATCACCTTTGTTGTAGCGTATCCGCGCGGTAGCAAAACCTGACCCGGATAGCTTAGTGTAGTCGAAGTTACAGAAACCCTTGTACTCGCCGTGGAAGTCTTGTTCTGGTGAATACAGCCGATCCCTTTCATTTTCGTTGCGATTGTGCAACAGAAGAATTTTGGGGTTATCACCCTTTCTGTCGTTGTCAAAATCGTCGAAAAGGATACCGATACCAACAAAGGACATGGGATGACCTAGAATAGGTCCACCACGTTCCGGCTTGTTCGTGGTGATCCAAAGTGCAAAGCCATCGGTAAAATGCCTCGTAGCTTTGTAAGACGAAAACACATTAAACCCTAGGACGATCTCAAACGCGTCCATATCGACCGGTTCCCTATTCCAAAAATGTCCGATCTCACCCGCATTGTGGGTAGTCAGGCGAATATAGGAATCAGTGATGACCGTCGATCCCGAAAACTTCCAGTAAGGGACCTCACTCTCACCATAATAATGCTGGAGGAGCGGCGGGGTAAAGGAGTGATGGGCGATGATGTTGGATGTCGTCCGGTGTTGTTGATTGGGTGACAAAGGGTAAATGTCATTCTCGGCATAAGAGGTAGCCACGGCTAAAAGAACTGCTAGCAACAGGAAAATAATTGGTAACCTGAAGAAGCGACTACGATTGAAGAAAACAGAACACCTAGGCTGTTTCAACATCTTGGGACTGGCAATGTGTTTGTCGATTATCAATGTAATTGGCAATTTTCCGTCAAATAAATAGTTCGCGATAATATTATATATATATATATATCTAAATATATATATATATATATATATATATTCTAATTAAGACTAGGAAAGACACTAGAAAACTAATGAAATTTTAGATCGAACCTACTGTTTGTGTGATTTTCCAAAATCGTGTAAAATAAGAAAGGGAAAAAAGAAGAAAGAATGAGTAAAAGTCAATATATTCAACTTGTATGAATGCGCAGAGAGATATAGAAAGTCAGTAGGGATACCATACGTTTAAGGTTTATATATATATATATATATATATTTACAACATTTTAATGAAAAAAAAAGAAACTTAAAATACATTTGATGTGCGTTAAAATGTTTTTTTTTTTGAAATATCTATGTGTACTATAATAAGATTAATGTTCCTACCTGTGTAATAAAATACCAAATTAGTTGATATTTCCCTCCTTTATATACGTGCACTTTTGGGGAAGTAAATAGGCTATTTATTCGTAAAAAAAACCAACCCTCGATAGTACCATAATATAAGCATATATAAAAATAATTGTTTAATATTGCTTTATTTTCTTGACATTTCAGTAATGAATCATACTTTATTGTCATTGTTGAATCGATTCATTTTTAGGTATTGATAATTGTACCATCCTATAAATTTACCCTTTCTCAACCAAGGCCCTGACGATACATGTGCATATATGTAAATTTGCTTTCTCCATATACTTTATAGTTACTTAAAATGAGCGGCATGTCTCACGCGGTATGCGCTAATCTCCTGCTGAAGTGCCTCATCTACCTCCACCTCCTCATCTATGGTTTCCCCTGTCAAGGGGTTTACATGGCCAATTTCATCGATCACTTTCTTTAGGGCATCCAACTCAAAGCGATGTCCACTCTTCAACGTCACCGGCTCCCGCATTAACTTATTGGTCATTTGGCAGCGGTACTTCTCTGGATGCTTTGCACCTCGAGGCTTTTTGTTTACATGGTGGCCATCACTACATAAATGACTAGAAGGAATAGCTTGTTCTACAGAGCTATAATTTCTTAGATTCATGCAAATGGGCCGGTCTTCCTGCGGTAGTGGCTGTGATGAAAGAACATGTATAAATTCGTCTAAAGCTTGACCAAGTGTCAGCTGCATAATTGCCGTTTGCATAATATCAAGTTGCTCTTCTAGGACAGCCACAACCTCCCCCAGCTCGGCATTCTCCATTTTGTTCTTCGAAAACGTGCTATAGACAAACTCTACCGATTCGTTCTGAGTGTCGACGTGAGACGAGGTCTCGTTTATGAACTGAGCGATGAAAATGTTTGCAAAAGGCATATTCATAATGCGACAAGAAGTAGATTCATCGGAAACTATTACGCCCAGGAGCGTCTCGAAAACTTTGCTCAGTTCTGGCTGCCGTTTGGCATTGATATTGCAAAACAACTCTACCGTCAAAAGGAGCACTACCATACCGCTGTATTCCCCACTGAGCGCGGACTCACGCTGAATCACTTGCTGTCCTAGACTTTTCAACGCACTGAGAAGAGCATCGCTAGGGGGAGGGGTACTTGGTAGCTTGTACAAGGCGAATCGTAGAAGCTGCAAAACCTTGATAGAAGCACGCAGCAGTGGATCAACTTTGGAATGCTGGGAATCCATTAAACTGCTGGTTGCATTTTTAGCACCATGCCACCATGCCTGAATGGCTAACATGATAAAAGGGATCACCACTTTGGCCAAAAATTCCTGGGACTCGACAAAAAGGCTCTCCTGCAGACTCTTCACTAGTTGCAATTTGTTGCAGTACTCGGAAAGATTCTCGATGGTAGAAGAAAGAAAGTGGAGCAAAGCTGCCCACTGCGCAAGCTTGGTGAGCTGGCTAGGCGTGAACAGGTTTACACTAGAGATGGAAGTGCAGGAGCCGAGGGCACCAGGGACCGCGTTCTCCCCCCAGGACCTCCGCCACAGCCCCACAATCTTTGCCAATATCGCGACAAACGCGTGGCTCTCCATACCGTGTTCTAGCAGTGCCGACAGCTTTCTCTGAAACACCGATACGTCGATGACGTGGTCTGTGCTGGTCTCCGCATCAAAGTAGCTCGCGGGCGTCGTCAGCTCAAAAAGCCAGCGTGCGGCAGCCTGGCATAAGGGCCACTCATAGTCAGGGTCCTCTAGAAGATTAAGAAGAAGGCGCACGACGCGCCGAGCATCGCCGTGGTAAAGGTTCTCAAGGATATCACCTACCTTCAGCCGTTCATACCCCGAGACGCGTAAAAGCAGTACGCTTAACATGAGGTACTGGAGCTCGAGTGTATCCCCTTCCTGCTCAAGCATCGACTCAAATGACTCATTAAGCTGCATCACACTATCAAATAAAGGACCCAGGTGGACCGCATCACTGGTGTGATGAGATATCCAGTACAGACACTCAAGTACCATGGACCGTATTGTTGTATTTTTGGCATCATTATTCGCAATGCTGATGAGACGTCGTAGGATTTCGTGGACGGTCCCGTCGTTAACCGCGTTATCACCGCTCAGCGATAGGTTGAGCGAGTCATCTCTTAACACATTCACGAGAGGAGAGAGCGTAGACGCAGAAACATTTTGTAAGGGCTGCGTAAGAAACACCTTCACCACAGGATTAGTTGACATATTTGCTAATAGAAGTAACAATAGAATATGTTTATATATTTTGAAATACCAAAAAAAAGCTCCCAATCAATGTATAAATCTAGGTCTTAACCTTTAATACTTTAAAAATGAAAACCTTTGATAGTATAATAACGTAATACAAAAAGAAATCGATCTATATTTGTAAAACAAGGGATTCGCACTTTTACCCCTCATTTTTTTTTTGACAATGATAGTCACTAAAGATGGAGAAGAATTTAATACTGACACTTGTAGAAAAAGACACACACTTCACTGCAGTATTTTAGTTTTAGTATTTAAAAATGTGATGTTCAACTTCCAAGACTGCACTTCATGCATGAAACTATACACCACAAGTTTCCCTAGTGAGAATTCAATAGTTGCTGAATTGAATTGGTCATGATCGATATGGCAAAACAACTATGACTAAATTAAAAAATCTTAAAGTAAAAAAAATAGCAAAACACATCGATAGAATTCAGAAATCTTTTCCAGATTCGAGCAGCAAATAAAATAATAATAACTTTTGTAAATCCTGATAATCGCTTCAGAAATCAATTACGTCAAGCACAGAAGTGCCAAGTGAAAACAGAAAAATCAAAATGTTAACTATGTTCTTTTGCTGTAATTGATTTACATCATTTCTACCTTTATTTTCCTTCTCTCGTGCTGGGTTACTATTTTTTTTTTGTGGTAGGCATCCTTTGATATGAGCCCTTTTTTACCCATCTTCGCACCGCATCTCGTGTCTATCCACCTGTAGTCAATCATGGTCATGCAACAGAAGTGGTTGTGATGAAATATTGGAACAACTTTTAACACACAAATAAGAAAAACCGTATCATAATGCCTCCCAACATCAAATCAAAATGTATCTTTAATGCCCAGACTACACTAAGAATTCGTTTCGGAGTATAAAAAAGGGGCAACCTCCGCCGTTGGCGAAAGCTGATCGGCACAAATGGAGACCGAGGAGGGCAACGTAACTAGGTCAAAAAGCAGCACTGGCTGAACAGCTATATGCCTTGCATCATCATCCGGGAGCGGTGCGAGATTTGAAAAAGTCCTGGGAGGGAGAAGGAACACAAAGATTACTACCACCGCTAATACCCTCAGTAACGCTTGCGTGGTCAACATTAACCGATGGCTCGTTCACTATAGCCTCCTCTGAATGTCTAGCGGCTGCTGCATGAGTGAAAACCACGTCGGCCGGAACGTCAGGCCTTGGCAAAGTGCGAATAACCGAGATCCCCCCCTCCTCATTTTCGGCGTCGCATTGATGAGCGGCGTCCACAACAGAACGCAGTTGCCTCTCCACGGTCTCGCCAAGCGCCACCCAAAAAAGACTCTCACGCTCCTCTTCGGGTACCTGCTGAAATGGTCGAATCGGTAGAAACCAACTCCACCACGGGCCCATCCCAAACACCGTGGTTCGGAGGCGATCCCAGTTAAAAGTCCCTGGAGGGGTCTCTGGCTCGTCCGCGAAGAGAGGCCGGTAGTGCCCATTCGGGGTGATTCGGCGCGCAAATCGCTCCACACTTTCACGGTTCGCGCGGCGAATTCGCCCCAATGTGCTATCCCCACATCCAACCGAGTGCAGGTGTAACCAAAGGAAAATGAAGATGCCGATGGAATTAATGCCAGTCATAAGAGTCCAGAGCATAAAAAAGGACTTAAGTTTATGGCGAATCGCATACCTAGTATAGTCTTTGTTCATGCAGTATAATGTGGCAACGCATGACTCGAGCATTCCCAGACCTGAATATAATAGAAAAAGCACAAAATATTTGTGATTACCCGCGCCCACACACTGACCAATACATTTAAAGTGAAGATCTTTGTGGCTAAAACAACGCATACAGATGGCGCAGTGCTCCGTGCCCATGATCTTGTATACAGAACAAATCTTACACGGGAAAGAATAATTCAGCAAGAAGCTCACCTCTAGCGCTTTCGATTCCGAGTCGCCATGGAGCGCATCCAAGGCGTTGCGGGCAACCTGCAAAAGAGTGAACACGCGCAAACCGTGTTTACGTTTTCGACAGCGACGGTTCCTCAGATGCTCGTGATTCGGCACAGTACTGACATCTCTCTGATCCTCTAGCAGTTGATTATCCCCGTCAACAAAATCGAAACCATCGCCACTCCCATCACACCCATAGTCTTCATTCATGTTAAAACCCTCCACACGAATAAAATTGTCATCGTGGTGACCATTCTGCTGCATGCGCTGCGTCTGTGCGGCAGACATCATTAGATTAGCCCTAACCGCGTGATCCTTTGCCTCCCCGACGTCGTTTCCCTCTTTGTGGGAAGACAGGGAATTAGCGTTTGGTAGCTTCTTTTTTTGAGAACCGTCCTGAGTACGTTCATCCTCGATGCTCTGGTCTAATATGTGCTGCACCTCCTGCTCGACAAAGGCTTCAATGGGTTCAAGCTGCATCCAGGGCGGAACAGGTCCTGCGTCTTTCAGCAAGCTGGTTACAAAATTTATTGCCATCAGGATCCATAAAAATGCAAATTCCAGAAGTAAAAGCAAACCGAGTGCAAAGGAATGATACATAATGGGGAATAAGATCTCAAAGAGCATGGTATTTGTAAAGCATACGATAAAGACCACGGTCATACCGACATAAAAATATCGACACAGGAACATAATTCACTCAGCTAAAAGAAAACTATTTTACGTTATTCAACAGGCAATGACTAAATACTTTTAAAGTATGTGAAATAGATATATTCGTTCGTACACTTTTGGGACCTAGTTTTAAAACCGCAGTGTTTTGTTGTTGTTGTTTTTCGGGGGGGTGGGGGAGGAGGTAGACGTACGAATTCCCCTCACTCTCTATGTACACTTTTGGAAATACTTTTCCCTCAAAATACGAGATCGCGGGGATGATCCTAACTTAACGTGCTGAAGCAAGAAGCACCAACAAGCTCAAAAATAAACGCAGTTCGATAAAATAATCCTACAAAAGTAACTGTAGTATGGAAAGGTAAGAATAGTGAAAAAACGCCCTAAACAAATGGAAAAGAAAAAAACGTATATTTCAGAACCATCAAGCCTAAAAAAAAAACATATTATACAAGGATGCATAAATGTAGCCCACGAAAGCAAACACTCAGACCCATATTGTTTTGCTTATTTAACTCGAGAAAAACTATGAAGGATCTTACAACCACAGAAATGGCAATTTTACACGTTTAAATATTATCATTTCTAAATGAAACAAATCCTTAGGCCGCCGTTACACCGCTTACTCACCCAACTACAATCCGTTACTGAGGATAATGTATTTGTATATATATAACTATTTATACCTTTTTGGTGGAAATGGAGATCGCTAAAATCACAAAAGTTTCAAAGCAATTGTGCTTCTATTTTTGTATGAGCTCCGCTGAGTGAACGCGCAGCAAAAACAGGAGGTCCACAGCCGCTCTGACATCGGTGAAATTATTACTTGCATTGTGCTGACCAATTAAACTCCACAAGCTCAGTCTGGTTGCTTGAGGAAAATATTCATCATTAGCGACAATGCTATCCAACAACACACCCCAAGGGTTCACTCCATCAACGGCACTTTCAAAATCGTCCTCATCTAGAAAGTTATCAACCTCATCGTCGATATCGCCAGCATCACACACATACTGGAGCATTGAGTTGTTACCTTCGCATCCAGCTGTGGGTCCATGATGAAGTTTCTGACGCGCATTTTGAGCCTGCGCGCATAGAGAGTGCATAGCATCAGAGTCTTGTTTATTATTAACATCAAAATCATCATTGAAATCATCGCTGCCCATCATTTCCTCACTTCCTTCATACTCCATATCATCTGAAGCGGTAGTGCAGCTGCTTTCACTGCTGAACCCATCCTCTTCATCTACCCATCCATCATCCTCGTCCTTAGCAGTACCAACAGTGCCTTCTCTGCCTGAAGAAGATTGGTGTGATTTCATGAAAGCAACCCCACGAGCAACAGCTGTGACCGCGGCTTCAACAATCTCAGCCGGAGGATGGGACTGAGGCTTGTCCATATTCTTTTCTATACAGGCAATCCGTTTCTGCAGACACTTCACATGGAAAGCAATCTCACGAACGCTTGCATCGAGATCCTGATGAGCAAAATGCTCAAGAAGACCGCTCGCCACAACTGCAGAAAGGGAAGCCTCAAGAACGGCATGGACTGCCAGGTTGGCCCCCACATGCTGCGGCTCCTGCTCACAAAGATCTTGACAGGCAGAGAAGAAGCCCATGGTACGAGAAAAGGCCAAAATGAACAATGCACGATCGTAACTACGGAGCAGATCGGCACATGATCCTGGTCTGATGGTAGCATTTTTTGCCTTATTTTGAGCTTGCCACTTATTTGCATCCTTTTTGTTGAGTGAAGCTGTGCCAGAGCTTACTGAAGGTTGCACTACAAGAAAAGTATAGTGCTCAAAAAAGGAGTAGGTGGCCTCAGAATTACTCAGAATAGTCAAGGTCGAGTTGATGTCCGCCAGGATACAAGAAAAAACCACGTTGCAAAATAGCACTCGAAGCGTCGAATTCAGTTTAGGTCGGTTAAAAAGGGTAAAAAGCACTTGCTGTGCAATAGGCTTGACAGCGGACTCGGCAAACAACGATGTGGTGGCTTCCCCGAGAATCGCCGACACCGCAGGGTTAAACGGTGTTGAAAAAACCCATGTTGAAGGGGATGACGAAAATACCAACAACCAGTAGTTTTGCAGGAACGAATCATAAAGTTTTAGGACAGCCGATGTTTCACGGCTGTGAGAAGTCGGGCACTGCAGCACAACCTGACACATATCCTGCAGCAGCTGAGCCGGTGTCATCCCGCCCACGTCATGCGCAGTCTTCTCCATCTCACCAGACGCGACGGGGGTGCTGCTCGTGAAACGCGGGACGTTTGTCTCCCCTCCGCACAAGACACTCATGGGGGTAGTCAAAAAAAGCTGTGGCGAAACGGAGATAAAGTTATCGATCGGGAAAAGCATCTCAGCGAAGTAGTCGGTGGTGCCAGCGTGGCACACTAGATGGTGCAAGCACGGCAACAGTCGCCAGGTCGCCGAGGCCACACAAGGGCTGCGCGCAAGCAGCGTGGTCAGCAAATTCAAGGCAGAGTCCATGAAGCCATACGTGCTGCCGCTCTGGTGGCTCAGGATGAAAAAAAGCATCGGCGCGACACGTTGCTGCATCTGTACAAACAGGTTCGCATCCATCTCTGCATTGGTTGGAGATAAGCCGCATGCGTCCCCAGCACTGACGCCTCTTATATTTTCTCCTCGCACTGACGGGCTACGGGGAAGCACCTTGACTAATGTGATGAGCGTTTCAAGGAGCTCATCGGACGCCATGAGGGTTTCAGAGAGACCTTCGTCCTCCAAGTATCCGGACATAGCATGATTCCCTCCTTCCGCACCGTTGCCAGCACCATCGCCCTCCAGAAGATTATACTTACTTGAAAACGACTGAGCCACAAACGAAAAATGGTTCACAATCATATCAGCCAACTCCAATCCCCATTGCGAGAGCGAGTCCCTGTAAAACGATATCGTCTTACGCAGGGTCCGTATCACCGACTCGCTATCCATGAGTTGCATAATCTGAAAGTAGTGTTGAATGAGTTCAGCAATGCACGGCAACACAACGTCACGCGCGTACGGATGGCATGTCAGACGTGCAAAACAGATGCATGCTTGGATTTTAACAGGGGTATCAGGATCGCGCAGCAGCGGCAGCGCTGCGCGAAGAGCAGTCTGATAAGACTCAGGGCTACTCCACTGGATTTTCTCAGAGAAAGTGCTCAGCACGAGCACTGCTCGAGCACGCAAGAAGCCAAGTTGACCCTGCATCGCAGGGACCACGAAAGTGCTGAGTACATTCTCTAGGTGTTCGTGTCCAAGCTGCATACCAAGCAGGGCTTTTTTGAAATTATAGATACAGAACAATGCCGCATCTATCCGTCGAGCAGCTTCCCAGTCTTCAGCTCCAGACTCTGCTTCACCCAGTGCCTGTAGCCCCCGTGGTGCGTAAACCTGCAGCTGATTTATCAAGAAATTAGCGAATTTCGGAAGAAAGTCCGCATCTACGTGCTTCTTACTGGACGTGACCAATGAGAGAAGAGTGGTGACAGCGACAACTTTGGAATTATAGATATCCCCGGTGGGGGCCATTTGCTTCCGCACGTACTCTTCGGGGTTGTTTACCCACATCTCACTCTCTTCAGCGGAGAAGGCAAAACGAGGAAAAAGCAATACGGTCATTAGTTCTTCTGAGACAGGATGAAGGATCGTCTCGTAGAGTCTCCGGTGGGAAACTGCCGTACCTAGTGTTTCAAGTGCGATGATATATGCTTTTGAGCTTAATAACCACACAAAATATGGCTGCGAAGGGCACTCTTCAGTTGTTGGTATCAAAGAATGCCATCGTACAAGATGCAGTGCGGCCTGTACAACGTCACTCAAATAGGTTTCGCATAAAAGTGTTGCAACAGCGCGGGCACGCTTCTCACAACTCTTCGGTTCCATGAAGTCCTGAAAAAGTTTGTATGAGAGGTTTCCGACCCACTTCAGCATCCGCCACAACGATGCCTTCTGAAATATTTCGAATTGGTCGCAATGGCACTCATTAGAAATCCCTATTGCTCCAGCGTTGCACCCATTCTGGGAACCTCCATGTAACCGCTGAAGGAATTGCTGTCTACACCATGGTAAGTAATGCATGTAGGCCACCTCTGTAGGGCCCTTGAAAGAGATGTTCCAGAAACGGTGAAAGAGCGCTGTGTCACAAAGACATTTTGGATACCGCTGTTCGCATAGTGACCAGAGACACTTTAAGACTAGCCGCAAAGCGTGAGAAAGCTCAACCTGAAGGGGGGACTGCTCTAGCATAGATTCCTCACTCCCCACGACATAAGTCTCATTGTCTGGGACCACAGGCCCCCTGTCAAGAGTGCTTGCCATCATCCGGGGTGAGTTAACAGCACTACAACGCACAACTTCCTGAGACCATAGTCCCTCCAAATTTTCTGCTAAGCTCACCAGTGAGGGCACTAGCCGAGTTGCAAACGCGTCCATTGCCGCCGCATTAACTTTAAGGGGATCCTCATACACGCGACAGCAGCAGTACAAGATCGCCAAGCCAGCCTTCATCTGCACAATCACAGACAATACTTGTGCATTCATGGCGCTGGAGTCGATAGCACTGCTTAGTGCGACGATCCAACTTCCCAACAGGCTCTCAAGATGGGGAATAAGCTGTGGCCATTGCTCTGGGAATTCATACGTTATTAACGCGTTTGTAGTAACGAGTAGCTGGCGCCGCACATGCTCTGAAACATGAGGTAAGCATTGGATCGGTATGATCAGCTGACGGACGTTACCTTTTATTTCCTCAGTGAAATACGTATTTCGATTCCAATCGCTGCGGCCTATCACATTATGAACCCGAATTGCAGCAGCAAGCTGCATATTTCTGTGCTTTTGTAGTATTGACCGTTGCTGACCGCTCAGAAGCTCTTGTGAACCGCTTGGCACCTCAAGGTCTTCCGGTAATGAAACAGGCTCACAACAAAAGCGGATAAGATGCAAAACAAGGTCATTGTGCTGGAGCGAGATTTCATTGAGGGTTTTCTCAGCAAATTCACGAACCAATTTATCAGCTGAAAGCGTAGCCTCAAATATTTGATACAGTGTTTCGTTACTAAGTTTGGTTGAAGTCATATTCTATACGAAACTAGCCCTGTGCTACCTTTTTTTTTCGAACTACTTCCACCCTTCCTTCAGAAACCTCTGCTGTCAAATAACTATTAGTGTTATTATTAGTATTATTAGCTTATACTTACCCTCACTTTCGTAAAGTTTAAGAACTCACTCCCTTGCGCATCTTAATCATTTAAAAATATACAGGTAAAATAAAAGGGAAACAGAACAAAGAAAAAGTAAGAACAGTAAGTTGAAGGACAACACTACGACCTGTATACTACTACTACTTTAAAAGGATGAGCGAGAGAAATTCATGAAAATGAAAAATAAAAGCACAGCCTCGATCAGTCCTTTCGAGTCCCATTGTAACCGCTATCCGATTAATTCAATAACCATGGACCCCGGTTAGATAAATATTACACAATAGAAAGAAAATAAAAAAGTATAATTTCAAGATTTATGCTTCCAACAAGTGCTGCACTCCCTTAGTATATACCATTTTTTTGACTGAACACAGTGATTTACATTACAGAGATCCCGCTTAAACAAAGGTTTCTACGGTACCTTCTACTCATCTTCACTCAGTCGACTAGTATAGCGACGGCAACATTGGAGTACACAAACCTCTACTTCTCGTAAGCCTCTGATGTTTTCCATTGCCCTCTCCTGAATATCATTTGTTACACGATCCTGGTAACAAGGTGAATAGGTTTAAACCACGCCCACAACCTCTGTGTCATATCTGGGCTTGTTTAAGACTTGCAACATTCACTCGTCCCGATTTACCTCAGTTTACATCATCGTCATCACTGCCCGCCGCAAATCCGTCATTAATTTGATGTAGCATCGTATTAAGCTGTGTCACATGCTTGAGAATATCTTGAAGTTTGTTCCCCAAAGTGGAGAACTCCACTTCCAGGTAGCTAAACCGATCTGTGACCTTCTCAAAGGATTTGTCAGAAAACCCTGAGTCGTCATCCCAGTCGGCGTTTGGGATCGAAGGTAAGCTATTCACCACACTACTGCCAAAGTTAACTGCATCTTCATCGGTGGGCAATCCAAATGAATTGATGCAGGTGGATTTTCGGGGGCTTGGATGCAGCTGTTGGTATTTATGAGAGCTGAGGGACACAGGCGACTGTCTCGAACGTATCGTTTCATCTAGTTTTTGAATGCTATCCCCGAGAGAGCCTCTATGTTGTGGATCTATGTGTGCTTCCTTCGTGGTCCCGCTAGCCCTCGGTGGCGTTGTAGTTCTCGGTCGCGGTACGTGATTGCCGTTGCTCTTGTTAAAGGGATCGGCACCGTGTGATGACGGCGGCCGAGCGCTTGCAAACATACTAGTCAACAACGTGTGATCATCCTCGTTTCCTTTCTTAAGGATTGAGCACGTCCTGTTGAACACCTGTGTTTCGATCTCGGCAATGATTTTGAGCTCGCAAAAAAAAGCATCTTGTGTTTCCTTGGATCCAAAAGCATTCATGTGACCAGAGGCGAAATCCGCTGTGATTTCGCGAAGCTCTTTTTCGACGCCTAGAAAGTCATTTTGTACGCTCATTGCTTCTTTTTTTTTTTATTGCTTTTGTGAACTTTTACTTATTATTGATCTTATTTACAATGATGAATACTAATCAAATATAAAAAAACAATGATATTCATAGTTACCTATTTCACTACGATGGATGGAAGAAGAGTGCACGGGAGGGGAAAAAAAATGAAAATGAGGAAAACGAAAAAGCAAAAGCAATCAATGGAAAACAATGAATAGATTTTTTGATTATCTAATGAGGGGGAGGAGGGGAGAATATTGGTAATGATAAAGATCTCACGTAAATACTTTGAATAAAACGTGAGTTAGATAAATCAAATTAGAATATGTCTATATATATATATATATTATATCCACTACATGAATTATATACATAAATTCAACATTCATGCAAGAAACACTTTCAGAAATGAAAAAAAATGGGAAACTATACTTTTTGGTCTATTGAAAACCCACACTCACACTTTTGTGCGGTCCATCTTTTTCTCTTTTGCCTCAGAGTCAAACAGAGATGCACAAAAAAAAAGAGGGACCCCCTCGCGCGTTCGTACCTTTTCCATCCTTGTCATAGCGATACCCATAGGAATAAAAAGCATTGGGTTTATATATAATTTTCAATGTTCAGGTTCGGAACGAGTCGATTCAACACCAGCTGGTCAGCCTGTGTTGACTGCATCATGTTTTCAATAGTTTCGTTTAACACCGTAACTCGCTCTTCTGCCTTGTGAAGCCTTTCTGAATCCCGCGTAATTAGATTATCTTGCTGCTGAAACTGAGCCTCGCACAAAGCACGTTCCTTCATCAATCGTGCAATCGTGCTATCGATATCGACAAGTTCGGTTTCAAGGGCCCGCCGCACGAGGGTATCCTTCTGGACAAGGTCCTGCATATCACTGAACTCCGCTTTGGCGGTTTGCAGCTCTTCGCGATAAACCTTAAGCCGACGACTAGTGCTGAGCAAACGGCGAGCCTGTCGCTCGGCTTCCTCAACCGCAAGGGGCGCCTGCACGACAAGGGCGCCATTTTCTCCGAGACCAGGAGATACGCCCTGTACACCCGCAAAAGACTCATGGTAGTGAGTAATTGAAACGGGAGAAGCACAGGCCGTCTCGAGCATGGCACGAACCGCCGGTGGTAAGGGTCCCTCTAAAAAGGACACCGATGAAGGGGCATCCCCCACATTTGAAGTGGACTGAAGTGCCCTTTGATGGGGTGCAGATTGTGCGGCTAACCCAGACGACCATGAGGGCTCGTTTGCCGCAACAGGGTCAGTGCCGGAACGAGGTCCGACGTAAAATGAGGACCCTAATACAAGGCCCCTCTGAGGCTCCGATGATTTAGGGGTTCCATCCGGCAAAGAGGATGACAACCTCGTTTGTTCGGACCTCATGAGATCATTGTAGTTCACTGGGCGCGGTCTGTTATTAAATGCCGCATTCGTTTTTATATTAGGTGAGCCTTTTGTAGTCGATGTAGTGAATTGCTTGGTGTTACCAGCGGGCACTCGCCCGTGATCTGTTTTTTTTATTCTAAAATTACCTATAGCAGGAGATCCGTTCGACGCGTTGTCGTAGGGCTGTGGTGAAGTCGCAGTGGAAGTGAATGCCGATGGTCCCGTAAGCGTACCCAGCCGCTGACGATTCTTATTTGTTCTTTTAAACTTGTCCTGCGATGAGCACGCCTTATTGAAGTATGTGCCAGAAATCATAGAGTCAGAAAAACAGGAGTTCATCGAACGCTCCTCACAACCTATCCTTTCCGATCGAGTAGAATGCGTAGAAATCTCTCCGTCACCTTGAGATTTTGAATCAAGAAAAAGACTGGAGGAAGTCGGCTTTAATACTTTCTGTGACTGAGTCTCAAGGGATGGAGAGGATGATGCCAATACCGAAAAGACCTTAGTTGGATTGCACACCGCCACTACGGCAGCGAGGCTGGCAGTGCTCGTCACTGAACGGACGTGATGTGGGTTCGGCTGAAGCGGGCGTGATTCAATAGCGGTCATTAGAGCAGGCAAAACAGGCGAATTTGTGGAACTCAAATGACAAGTTTTCTGGTTCAAGCTGTGCATTCCAACAGTGTGCTGGTGGGCTTAAGTTCTCCTTTTTACCTATCACGCTCACTCTTCGAGTCTTTCACTATTTTCGCTTCTTTTTTTTTTGGATATGTGTACAAAACGTCACTTAAATATCCAAACTATATCAAAGGTGAAAGCTGAAATAGATTGAAGTTTCCATAAGACTTTATTGGGGGGTGGAGGAGGAAAAAAACATAATTATATGCATAGATATGTGCAATTATAAGAAAACATGTTAAGATATATTTCTTGAGAAAATATATCTCGATCCGACAATATTGGTATTTTCTTTGTCATAAGTAAGCATTCAGTCTGAAAAGGAAAGGTCAAAAACAAAAGGGAATCAGACTCGTGTCCATAACATTTACCTCCCTTTTAATAGTGCGCAGACAACCTTGCAATAGTAGAATGGCATCAATAGCACAGCGGCAACTAAGTGTTTTTTTTACTAATCTGCATCTAAATATTTTTAATTGCTACCACACAATTCAAAACAAGAAAATACATTACTGTCATTATCTGATAGACACAAAAAAATGTAAATCAAATGTGAAACTTATTTTATTCAACTAAATATGAAAAAGAATGGTAACATGAAATAATTTACTTGGAAATAAAAGTGAAAAAGAAGAAATTATATGAGATAAACAATTTTCCTTGAAAAAGCGATTATTTTTCCACTGTAAAGAGGCGTGAACATAATAAAATATTGACTCGAGACACCTCAAATAAAAATATACAACCATTGAAATAAGATCAACACTGACACAAGCATATAGAAGCCTTTGAAAAGGTAAAGGAACCCCATAAGCAACACAGTAACCTTGGGAAAAACTTAAGTCGAATTAACTATAAGGCATTTCCTTTCCATCCTCTCTATATGAGTGCCGTTTAAATAGCGTCCAATAAACTCCATTAGTAAAAATGGAGAGTCGGGACCGTGTGACTCTAGCTTCGTCGCAGCTCCTTATTGATGTCTTCAATCAATGCCTTCAGTTCTCGAACTCGACTCTCTTTCAGTTGTTGTTTTTTATAGAGCTTTGTCCTTCGCCTCTCAGACATGAATGTGATAAAATTTTTGTATGTGAATTCATCATTAGACACATCACACCGAATGTAATGAAAAACTAATGAAAAAAAAACACCTGTATAACCCAGAAAATATGTCGTGGGTTCAATCAGATTCCAATCGAAAACAAAGAAAATCCAGTTGAAGTAAACGACGAAATGCAGAGCAAAGAGACCAAAGCAGACGTATACTAGAAGTGGGTAATACAGACGATCTACGTAGACATCGATGGGCTGCTGCACCATTAGAAGTGAGGCTAGTTCAGATTCGGATTCACGCAGAAGTCGGTTGAGCTCGCGTGTTAAATGGTTTGGTGCTCGCATTGGGATGGCTATGGCAGTTGCCAAAGAATTTTCACTTCCATCAGATGATTGACCTCCCCCAGTTGAAAGTTTTTTTGTAGTACAATTTCGAAGGCTTTTTTCTACAAAGTCATCACGGCACTCCTTGTTGTCAATCGAACACGTAGCCAGGGCCTCATCGATCATTAATTGGAAAGCACAACGATCTAAGACTGCGAAAGACGTGGAATGAAATGTTGAAGAGGAAAAGTTGGCTGCAGGATCGTGATTTCTAACCCTGGTATCATGCGCTGGTTCGGCTGCAGACCCCTGAGAATAACCCGTATAAATGAGTAAAGGCGTACTGGATGTATCCGGGGGGTTGGAAATAACCCCTCCAGCAATTTGATCCTGAGTTGAGGAAGTTAAAGGTTTAAAGATTACGCTTGAGAAATGTGCCGGTGACGAAGCGAGAAAGGAGATGCCTCTGCGTGATGAATACACCGAAAAGTGCACAGTGGTGGAACTACATATTCGCTGTGTATCGAACAGAATAAAATAATTGCGATGACAACAACAGGGCAAGGGAGCCAAATAGCAGCGGCGGCTTGGCTGTGTTGATGTAAAATTCAGCAGACGTAGGCACGATCGAAACGGGATAATGAAGCCGTACGCTTCAGGAGTTCCCATAGTCGCAGCATTAATTACTGGTATATTGACGAAGAATTATTAGGATTCCTTTTTGGGGTGTGTGTGTGTTTATATGAGGAGAGGGGGGGGAGAAAGAGAGAGAAAAGCTAGCACACACAATCTTTGTATATATTCAGAAATTAAAATCACCACACTTCTCGGCGGCTGATTCCTGAGCGCACTAGTCAGTATCTTACCTTTTTAGTGGAAATGAAGAGGGAACAGATGAGCTGCGACTAGCCTCAACTATCCTTTACTTGCTCTTTGTGTTTCTGCTTTTAAAATAAAACAGGAGACAGGTGAAAAAGAATTCGGTGGATGTACTGGAAAGTGAAAAAAAAAAATGGCACTGAAAATTTATCAATTTAAATTATTTTTGAAATTGTAAAGAATCTTTCCTCAGCGAAGCAAGGAAAAGAAGGTGGTGCACAAAGAGGAAAAAAGCGCGTCGGAATAACCCCTTTCCCTTTTATCCTTCCATCATGATTCTTCCTGTGAAGGGATGTGAAATGAGACTCTCAAAATACTATCATCATAACGCATCGGATCAAAATGTGTTTGGTGGTTAAAAAATGGAGTGCTCCGTGGTAATAAACATGACAAAGAGGACCCTTTTCCCTCATGTACATGACCAAATCCTATCGAGTGCTTCGACTTCAGAATTCCATTACAAGTACGTATAACCGAATCACGCACCATCCGTTCGTGCTCGCTGATTTTGGAAACCACAGCGTCGGCTACCGTGGTAACATCAGAGCCCACCGTTGACAGCCCCTCTGATGGGTGGTTTACAATCCACCGCTGATGCATACCTCCAGGAATTTCAGGAAATGTCGGAAGAGTTCCCTGATGGTCGCCCAAGGAATTAAACTGTCCCTCCTCGGACGAGGAATTCATAAATTCGGTACTAGTGCTACCAGTACCGGCGCACGCAGTGGCATTATAATACAGCCACACTTCACTCGTAGCGGAAAAGGCAAGCCAACAAGCTTCTCGCGTGATCGCATCGGGCGGCTCCGACGACGAAAAGCCATCATTAAACATATTACATCGTTGATTGGGCTCTCTGGAACCCTTACCTGGAAGTGTTAACGAAGACGCACCGTGGGAATCCCCTGCACCGGACGATGAAGTCTTGCGATAACATGAACGGCGGTTGTCTAGAATGGAATCCCCCTCGCACGATGTATGGAGATAAAATTCAGATTGCGAAACCGAATCCATATCAGCACGACATAGCTCATAGTGTGAGGTCCATATACTACACCAGCCCTTCACAGGCGCCCCCTGGGATTTGCAGGAGGTCACCGAAAGTCTTGATGGCCACACGGATAGTTTCTTCGAGTGTATACAGTGATTCAAATCCTGTGAAAGGTGGTCGGGAAAAGTGGCTAAATGGGAATTCACACTTGTAGGGGCGATGGGCGGATCCGCCTGCGTGGGACCTTCGGGGAGGGAATCCAGCTTGGAGAGGATGGGAAATTCACGCGGCCAGACCACCGCCGTGAAGGCATTTTTCACACCAATAGCGATGTGATCCTTGGATCGACAACCGAACGGTGGCGCCGACGCGCTAATGTCGCTCCCCTTCATCCTCGTCGCCCCGGTGGCTGACCATTTCTCATGATACTCCCTCAACAGTCTGCTCACGACATCTCCTTTATCGAACTTGTTGATTCCTGAAACGTCCGGAGAACTGACCCCGTCAAAGAGATCGGATTGGGTTTGGAGTTCCGTTTCAAGCTTCTTGCGCACTCCTAAAAAGAGAGGATCAAACAGTGGAATCTTGGCCTCAAGCTCGTTACTAAAATCTGCAGCTACAGACCAAGAATTTTCCTCACAACTTATATTCTTTGTGGGTTCGACCACCTCCTTTGCGCCATCCTTGCATTCGTATTGACGCTGAAGTTTCAGCTCTTCGTGAAACGCATAAAATAAAGATACCAGTGAATCTTGAGAAGATGAAAAGGTTTCGTCAACTACGCTAAAGGAAATTACACGAATGCAATGGCCCATGATGACATCTACTTCCACATAAAGCCCCCAATGAAGATCAAAAAAGACGTTCGCAATTCGGTCAAACCCATAACTGACAGCATACAAATCACGAAATAAATCTTCGTCTTCCTCAACTTCCCCATCCCCTATATTAGAAGTACGTTTTTGTGAGGAACAAGAATTATCACCGCCATCGCAAACCTCAACATCCTCATTTTCTTCCACTACAAATATAGATGGAACGTGACTGAAAAATTTCTTCAATCCCACCATAATGGACATAGCATTATCATCCTTTTCAAAGCCATTGTTAAACCTTATTTTGCGACCTATTCGACCTATTTCAGTCGAAAAAGATTGAAGAACATTGCTCTCAAGGGTATCATCGGAGGTCTCAGTAAGATCGCTAAGCCATGGAAATATAATCTCGCTTTTAGCGTCGTCCCCATAAGAAAGTAAAGCCTCTACTGCAGAGAGTGAAGCATGGGGATCAGAAAGACTGGTGCTGAAAATTGATCCTTGTGGATACGACGACGATGCGCTTCCATTTGAAAGCTGATTTGCATCGCACACATATCCATTCGCGCCGACATCCTTTTTCATACTATTCACCCTCATCACCCAAGATAATAGATGGTTAGTGCGGCTGAGCATTAAATGAATCTTACGCTGTGCAAGGCCACTGCTCGCCTTACCACCACCAGGATAGATGATACCTTGGAAAAGCTGATCCCTAACTTGAGGTAGCTTCGTCGCGGCGAGAGAGACAATGCTTCCGTTTTTCTGAAGAATACGCCGGAGGCAAAGAGCAGGGAGGCATATTTGAAGAAAATCATGAAGCTCAACGTCAGGGATTTGGCCGTTCGGCGATGCTCTGTGGTTTCGAAGTGCAAGCAGTCTTATCAAAAGGCTCTTTAGAGAAAACACAACTTCGCTTAACTTGCCAGGTGGAGCCGCATCAACAAAAGGTGCCAGAAGCTGCAATAATGACCTTTGGCTGTCATTGTTTGGCCCTGTTGGGTGTTGTATGGGCTGCTCCTGAATCTCACTCACATCCCTTTTTTCCATATATTTTGTATAGAAAATGAGATAAAACTATTTGCTGGATAATATTCACTCAACTTTGGTATTGAGTGATTCAAAAAAATCATATGAACAGAAGATTATTACGCTTTAGATCTATATATTTGAGAGAAAATAATCACCTCTCTTCCCAATGAAAAAAAAAAAGGTACAAAAAGTGAATGGAAATGCCAAAGAAGTATGCATGTATATCTTTCAGATCCAAATAACACCTCACGAGGTGAGTACCTCATCCAAAGATGCCTACAAGACACCGTTTTTTGTTGGTTTGCTAACGATTACCGGGGACCTCGACAAGCACGTGGCGAGTTCACGCACGGTCCACCCAGTCATAATTGCTCTTAAAAAACAAGGCTGCTCAAAAATATCACCTGGTTTAAATCCAGCCCCCCTCAAATAATGCACTGAACAAATAGAAAAAGTGAAAGGAAAGTATAAGAACAGTGGAAAAATAAAAGTTGATGAAATACAATCATCGCAAATGTGTAAATACATCGTCTAATCGCGTAGCCGAAATCGCAGTCCCTAGGACCATTCCAAAGCCTAAGCCTATACTCGTACGGTACAGCATGTTCCCATTCTTTAACAGAACAAGCATTGCTATCATGCCATAAAACGAGAAACGACCACTGGTACGGGTCCATCGGACCTCCTCCGGAGAGCCCTGTAACTGCATCACCCTGCTAACCAGAGCGTCTGTTTGCGGTTTGCTAAAATAGGGATTGGCTGGTGGAGATGAAACTGAAGCGATAAAAGAGTACTCTGAACTCTGAGCATTGTGATCGATCTTGTCAAGAACTACCTGATCTGAGAAAGATATCGCCCCGTTGTTCGGATGGCCCTGTTGGAGCGATACCACCATCTTCGATTCACCACACGGGTCGTCAGCCGGCGCTAAGGGACGATACCACCGCGCATCATCTACCTTACTATAGTGTATGGAAACCCATAGCAGACTGTTCGGTTCAACCAAATCCTGCCAGACCTTTCTCGGCAGGCCCATTCGCCGCAGCCGCGCGTCCACGGGGTCCCTCGTAAGACGAAGGAAACCCAGAAGCCGCACAAACCACGGCAGGGATACCCCCACCCGCGCCGCCGCACGTGACCGCCGGGTCTCGTAATACCGCAGGGATGCCTCAACGGCATGGCGCTCCTCCCGCAGCGTACGCGCCACGGCGTCGTCCTGTAGCCCGGGGTTCTCTCGCATTGCCCCGTACACGAGCCCCCCCAGCAGCCCGAGTGGGGTGCTGTAGGCCACACTGGGGTAAAAATAGTCCCCCAGCCTCGCTAGTGGACGCCTCACCAGTGGCAGGCGCCGAATATGGTAAAGGTAAAAATAGACCAGCGATATTGTACCGCTCATCGGCACAACAACACGAATCCCACTGATGCCATAATGCTTGGCAAGAACGAGGCCGGGTCTCCAAAGGTCGTGCTCATCCTTGGTGAGGTCGGGATAATCCCTTCGATTGAGAGTTGAGAAGTAGAAGTAGAATGGGTGCATATCGATGGAGGGGTATCAATCGATCCCACCCCAGCGTCTCGTTGGATAATGATTGGTCGTGATACTAGCTCCTCAACATTTAATAAGGGGTAAAGAATATGATGAAACTGAGACAGAATAATTTACCTATAAGAGATTTAAAAAGACAAGAATAGACTACGAAAACACAAGTGGTCATAATAAATAATAAAGACAGTAAACCTTTTGATATGCAACGAGCAAGGTCCAGGTCAGAAGAGGCAACAACTAAAAGCAATAATAACCCTATTAATTTCAGTGTCTCACCATATTGTATGGACCTAGGCATATTATTAATCCATTGTTCTTGTTGTCATATAAGGAAACCACAACGAAAGAATCAAGAAGGTATATTCTATATGGCTACGCGTGTGTTGACACTTATAGTACAAAAAATTGTTACGAGGTACGCAATGAAAAATGCAAGATGAAATTTCTTATATATTTTTTGTATATTGTTTTCTGATTTTGATTATTTCACAATGTTTTCACCGTGTCATGTGCTTCCAGCCTCTTTTGAGAACCTTGAATTATAAATGCACACCTAGGAATGTAGTTATAATTTGTCATACTCTTGATTGCTTCTTTTAAATTCATTGAATATCTATTCAATAAAAAGGCAACAATTTTTAAATAGATATTGCCCTCAAAATTCTATCATAATAAAATTATTTTTAAGTCATATAAGATGAGACCTAAAATGTATGATCATCAGGTAAGGGAATCTACAGTTATTGGCTAAACTGTAGATTTTTGATATCACAAACGTAAGTTTTTTATTCATTAAAAAAAAACTAACTTGTTGTGGCCTTTATTGAATTATAAAATCAACGCTGGTATTAGTAAACAAATATATTGGTACTATAACCCATGGTGTCCTTTGGGCCACATCTTTTTTTTCCCCTAGAATGGTTTGGTCCTGCTCCAAGAAGCGGATTCCTTGTACATTCGATATCTAAGGAATAAAAATAACTCCGCGTTAAGATACATACCTTACTGCATACCAAATGTAAAAAAGATATGATACAAATGGAACTCACAGAAAGTCTAGCATAATAAAACATAATAATAATAATACACTCATAAATAGCAAATTGACTCGCAATTTACGCAGTAAAATTTTGTACCTTTTTCCAGCGAAGCAAAAAGACTATGGTAATAACAGCAAAGAGTGCGGCTGTACGCGAATCATAGACAAAAAAAAGGAATCCATAAGTTTTTATTCATAGTTCAGCCTAGTTGATATTTAAAATTGAATATATATCACTCTTCATCGTGATTGCTCAGCAGAAATTCTGCGTCTTGGCCTCAATATTCACTTTCCTTGACTATTATAGACGAACAGAATTTATTGTATTGCAAATCAAGGTGAATGAAATTCGTTTTTTTTTTGAAGAACCTACTGAGGGAAGAGGAATGAGTAAAGAAAAAACGTGAGAATGCACAATAAATATACAGTAGAGGAATAATATATCTACAACTTTTTCATTTCAGGAGAAAAAACATAAAGTTAATGAAAAAAGCCCAGAAAAGCTTACATACGGTGTAGAATAGTATGGGGATCCATTGCGCGCAGACATCCAGCCTCGTTGACGTAAGATACAAGGACCCTGTTTGATACTCTTGTTGCACTCCCCTTATTACTACTTTTCCCTCTGTCCCTACTACCGCCTGCATCGTTCATGTTATCACTGTTTTCTCTTCCTATAACTTGCATACGCTTCTCGAGTTGGTGAAGGTATTCCAAGGTATTCGACGCTATTTCAAAAAGTACCCCCACCTTTTCTGCATATTTACTTAAACGAGATGTAACTTGCTGTGATTCACTATCTCCCCGTCGAATATGTCGAGATTTATCAATTTTTTGAGGTTCCTCACCATTCTGCGATTGTTCTGCCGCTTTAGATCGACCCGAGCGTCGCGAAGCACTATTTGTAATATCATTATCTTCTATATCAACCTGTTTAACATCAATGCCATCGTCCGCGCACTCCTCATTGTCTGTTGGTGAAAAAAACTCGGGTATGATTTGTTGTCGCAGGACTAGCTTAGTGTAGAAGCTAAACAAGGAGGTCCACCGCCACTTGTGTAGGTCTCTTCGAACCCACCCACGAGTAACTGTTACATCCTCAGACGCTTCTACACTCGTGCTGTCCGAATGAGGATGACCAAAGGTGCACTTCAGGTTGCTCTGACAATCAGAACTTTGCTTACTGTTGTTTACGGCAGAGTTACAATCCATAGAATTCGAGAGAAGACTCTCGCCAATCGGTGAGTGCAATGTTTTATGGGGCAACGAACCCTGTTGGGTGCGAGCGCCGTTAACATTGCCTAATGGGTCCCTGTGGACATTACCAAAACTAAACTGGTTGCTCTCGTTATGTGGTGGATCATTTGTAGACAACGTGGAGGACTTTGGCACCGACTGCCATCCTAGTAATACGCAACGTGTCACGTAGGCATAAGTCATTATATTAGTTAAAAAGTACGCGCAATCTATCAACTTATTGTTGATCACAAGGAAATTACCTATATCAATGGTGCATAAAGAGGATGATGGGGAAAAAGGTGCTATGCCATCTTTTTCTAGTATTGATGATGTGGTTGGATAAATCAATGCTCGGATAGTGTTGAGGCACAATACTGTAAGGTACACACCTACGTGCGCCCAATGCACAAAGCCATCCAACCGAGAGGCATGAATCTTGACAAAACGACACAGCTTTGGGCCTGCCAATCCGAGGTATAGATCTTTGTTGAATATCGTGTTGTTAGCTTCCTTTTCATTACCTGCACTTGGCTCGTCAGGTTTTGCTCCCTCCTGCGCCATGATTGACGTTTTGACGGGTTCAGACGCAAAAAGTGGTAGCAACGTATCTTGCACAGATAAAGATTTCAGAACATTCTCGCCAAGACTGATCTCTTGTTTCAGTGACGCTCGTATTCCCGCAACCACAGACTCCATCCGAAGTGAAAGCATGGAAACCTGCTGCGAAGCCGTAATCCAAGCGGCACTAGATTCGCTGCCACGCGAAGCATTGTACGTATCGTCGTCGCTTGCCCAGTCTCTTTTATGGTTCACATCACTACTATCATCCATTGCGACGCCATCCATAACAAAGTCACCCGCCAGCTTATTACATGATTGGTATCCATGGCCAAAAGGACTCCCAGATAGTCGTGTAAAGCTGTCACCTTCTGCACGCGCCAAGTGCCCATGTGCGCCGCTCCTCCTGCGGTAGCTGGGGCTGGATATCGTATGAACCCAGTTCTGAAATGGATTCTCATAAGCACTTGATTGACAAGTCGAGGATTGAGGATGAGTATCTCTCTGCCATTCTAACAATGCTTCCATTATCACTAGTGATGCCTCGTCTTTACACATCTGGATGAATACCTCCGCGATAGAAAGATCCCATACAGCCATGCATTCCATGAAGTCCTCTGAGAAGTCAACAACAGGGTTTGGGCACTCCTCATCTTTGCCAGATCGTCTGCATCGTTGAGTGATGTCATCCATAACCTGGCGGCGACTCTGCTTGAGCATGTTCCACTTGCCTTCCACTTGTCTCATAGATTCCTCGACATTGGCAATCTCTTCTCTAATAAGACGGATAAGTTGATTCTGCGAAAGATCACTGCAGGCGATGATTTGCAAATACCACTCAAGCTCACTGGCGCGATCTCCTGATTCATTTTGTGCCCACTTAAAGACTGGAGAACCCCGGGACATTGATGATTGTGTAACTTTTCTTGACAGTAAGTCCGCATTGTTAGTAAGTACCTCATCTGTAGAAAAGGGATGTGCGTTGATTTCGGAAAGATCGCGTGGACATGAAGAGGGTTGGGTTTGTGGCAATGAAATACGTTGTGATCCATCTAAGAAAGATAACGGACTAACTGAGTTACCGCAATTGAGGTTAGCGGTTGTACAAGCTCTATATAACGCGAGTAAAAGGTTCTTGAGGGCTTGAATATTTCTTTCACAGGCACCCACTTGCTTTTGGAATGTGCTAATAATCTCCTCCCGAGAACTGCAGGAATTTACAGAAAAGCTTGGTGTTTGAGCCAATATTTCGAGAAGATGTTCGTAGGCCATTGAAGTCTCTTGTGGCAGACCATTCATTTGTATATCTTTAAATTCTTGATAGGATTCTTTTGTCCTGTTTAGGAAATCCTTAACGCTAGTGATAAAAGTCTCCAGACGTAAGTGAATGCGAGAATTGTGCTGCTGCAAGCTCTGCACCTGAGCCTGATGGGTTTGCCGTTCTTCCTTTATAAGGCTAAGTAAAATCTGTTTCGCAGAATTAGGATCCCTGTCCACATAACTGCCCCCCATCTGAACTGGTGACTCCGCAGACTTAATACTTAATTCTGGACGTCCTGGACAGAGTAGGCTGCTGCTACCGCAATTTGGAGCATCAGAGGATGATGTCTGTGATGCGGAGACATTGCTAACAGAGACATCCAGACGGGAGGGAGGCACAGTTGTGGATGTAGAATGTGCCGTCATGGTTTTAGAAACAGGTGTCGCAGGCTGTGGCAGCGGTATGACCGCATAACGTTCTGATCCCTGATTGCCTACCGCTACGTCCGTGGGATGTTTTTTTCCAGTAACGGCATAGTGTAACCGCGCAAAGGCAATTGCCAGTGCCTTTCCTTCCGGAGTCTCGTACTCCCGGCTAAGCTCCTCCAAAACCGCTGGTGGTAGAGAAGTCGGTGCGTAGTCGGTCACTTCGACTATCCATTTGGTGAGTGCATTGTGCAGTTTGGAAAAGTCACTTAAGGGACCTTTCTCACGTCTCTCGATGGCAACAGCTTTCCTCACTTCCTCCAATTTTTTGTCCATCTGATCAAGTGTAAAAGATACTTCGGCAGAGGCAACAAGGAGGTTGTTGTTGAAACTAGGGGAGGGAACGGATGGGGGGACAAAAGCGCGAACAAATGATTGAATTGGTGGCCCATGACGTGTATTGGGGTTGAAAATAGGGTTGTTGGAGACGCTCAAACCAGCTGGAGATGATGTACGGCCTGAAGACTGCTTGTTCCCTGCAACACTCGAGCTAACAGCACCTCCAAAAGTGCCAACGGCGGCAATGCTACTATTCATACCAATCCCTGCGTTAGCAAGAGAACTTGAGTGAACATTTTGGGATGGGACACTAGGTCGACCTCCTTTTATTTTACGTTGCGGTGGAATATTTTCTTCTTCACGATACACTCTACCGTTAAACTCTTCATAGGTAAACATGCAAAGGGTTTTTTTATCACTTCTTGGGCTGATATACTCAATAATAGCAAATGGTTGCGCCTCTGTTAGCAAGTGAATCCCAAGGCGGCTTGGTGAATTTACATGAAATCCGGAAAATAATAAAGATGGTTCTACCGGGTTAGTGACGTCAAGAATCGCAACACTATCCGCGTCACTATCCAGCAGCAGCGGTCCACGTCCACATATGACCGCCGTTTTCTTGTGAAAAACAAGTGCTATGAGGGAAACCAGTAAAGTCTGGCACACGGCGAATGTGCGCGGGTCTATCAACACTGTGTTTTTGCTCATACTCGCCCAAACAAAGTTTCCATCCTGGTGGTAATCAATCAGAACGACGTCGCTGCGCATTTTTAGTGCATTTTCGGCATGATCAATGGGATGCTTCTGTATCCGAACATTATTGCCTCCGGCCTCGTACACGCGAATGTACGCGTCATCGGCAATCGCCCAAACCTGGTGCATGGTAGACACGTAGCATAGGTCGGACAGAACGGCCGCGATGTTCCGCTTTTTGAGCAGGCGGCGAGTTTGAGGATCCCATACCTTAAGTGCCTTGTCACGTCCCGCGGTCCATACACGACCATTCTCTAAATACCATATCTTGTTTACAGTCTGATCGTGCGCACCATTAATGATACCCGCATCGGTGAAGCTGTCAAGATCGACAATGCTAATATTTCCTCTACTAAGACCACACCACAGCGCATACGTACAGAGATTGTCGTCACTCGCGGACAGTGACGACGACCCGAGTAAATGAGAGCTTTTGGTATTACACTTATTTCTTCTTTTCATCGAGCTGTTAAGGATGAAACTTGGTCCAGACTCCTCAGTTGCCGTGACCGATTTAAAAGTGATCCGCTTGGCAGTGGGAACCGGCACTACTGCCATACAGTACACCTGCGTGATCCAATTGATGGATCGCACTGACGCTAGCGTGCTCTTTTCGCTGATCACCTCAAATAGAGTCGGGGGATGGTCCCCGAACGCCGCCCAGATGGCACCACCATTTGGCGAAACTGCCAGATCGCGTGCAGGCGCATCCAGTAACAACTCAGAGACAATGCGTGGAGGCCGCCACGCAGTTGTTGCCGTATCACTGCTACCGTAGGAACTCATTATGCGCTGGTAGTCCACATAAATAGAGGAAATAGGCAGACCACCCTCCTTGTGAGTTGTCGCTTTGACAGAAGGTGACAATGCTAATGACGAAGTCGCAGCGGGTAGACTGCTACTAACGCCGCTATTCATGTTGACGCCTGTAGACGGTTTCTCCACACCAAGAAGATGTGGCCCGGATATGCCTATGGAGTTGCTCGTCGCTACAGCCGCGCTAGAATTGACACGTCTGCTCTGGACTGTATTTGGCTTCATCGTATTCGTCCACAACGGTATGGGGCAAGCTGGAGGTGTATTCTCCTGTGGAGGTCTCCACATTGCTCCAACTAAATTCCCTCCACCTGACGCAGCCTTCTGCGTAGAGGCACCATTAGAAACGCTGCCATGATCAATAAATGTGTTGTCGTCGTCCTCTTCCTGGTGTTTGTAAGTCACTATAGGGACTCGATTTGTACTATTCACCCTCACATAGGGAGCTTCTGTGAGACTTCGATCTGCACCGCGAGCGTCCGAGGAACGCTCATACACCACGCCGGGGGTGCTCTGTGTGACTCCATTAAAACTAGTTTTCGCAATTGCACCCGATGCCATCGACGAGCCCAGTACCGTTGGCTTCAAGGATAAAGACTTGGAATTAGCGGTCTGTGAAGAGGAATTGACTACACGGTACAGCTTCTCCTGACTTTTTTCCTGCTCCTGTGCAGGGGGAAGTCTTGCAAAAATTTCCCCCACTCCCCATCCACCGCCGGTCTCACAGCTTTCAAGTGTCAGCGGCGGAATCAAAGGCATTTCCGACTTCGCAGAAGGATGGCTATTAGAGGCCATGTTTATGGTTGTCCCTCCCTCCTAGAAGAATAACGCAATTAGGATATTACGCTTTTTGCGTCCTACGACTCCTTAGTCAGAAAATAATAAAAAATAAAAAATCAAATGTAAATAGTCTAAACCAGTACTCCACTCCCTCTTCCTCCTTTCTATGGTGTAGAAAAGGAGGAAAATGCGACGCTCCTGAAACTAAAAAATGTTCCTAAACCAAGAGATGAAGTGAATACTATAAGAGTACTTAATAACGAACTGTGTAATTTTTTCCTGAAGAATTAAAGAGGGAAAAGGAGAAATAGGAAGAAGAACTAAACAAATCTAGTGGCTACATTTTAATATCATATCCATAAGCGAAGAGTCTCGTCTCAGGTACACAAAAACACTCGAATTTTATCTTAGAAAAGAACAAAAAAGATACAAAACTTCTTACGCGTTCGGATTAGTAGCTCTCATTGTGTGCTTCACCTTTTTCTTTGATAATCTGCGTCAAATGAAAATCAAATGGGAAAATTTAAAAAAAAATTTCTTATAAATCGAAATAATAAACAATTACTTCGCCCTTTGTTTTCCTATCCCGTATTACCAAATAAAAATGACGAATGACTTAGTGGAGATGAGACAACAGGTATTCCATAGCTCGTGTCTTCTCACCAAAATCGTAAATGACAACACTGGAGCACTTCAAAGTCTTCGTGATTTCACCGGCGGAATTCTTGCGCACAAGGCCAGACCACTCGGCGAGCTTCACACGACTTCCCACATTAATGAGATCGATCGAACCGCGCTTCGCGAGGGCTGTAATAAGCTTCTTGTAATCTCCATCCTCACAGTCCTCGGCCAAGATGCAAAGGTGGGCAACGTTCCGATCCAGTGCACGAGCGACTTCAGTAAGGCCACGTACCAGGCCGTTAGCCTCAAGGGACTTTTGAATGACAATCCGAATGGCGTCCTCGAGGGAGCTTGGCTCCTCATCTACAACACGGGCGGCGTCCTCAATCACGGGGGTTTCCTCAACGAAAGTCGTTTCAGCCATTGTGAGTTTGGAAGTTGCTGTTGTGTGGGAGTGTTATTGAAAAAAAGCCTATTGGAAGCGTAGAAGCTTTGCGAATTCAAGATAATAATAGAAAAAGTGAAAAAAAAAGAAGAAATGCACTTAAAATTCGAATAGGAAAAGAAACCACATCTTCCTCAAATTTTCTGAAACAGTATGCGCAATAATCAGCAGGTAGCATAAACTAAACCCGCATCGCGCTTTTTATTTTTAGTTAAGAAGGGAGCCTTACGCACCCCGAAAATAAAATCGATGAGTTTGTGTGTGTGTGTGAAACAAAGCTTCGGCTTTCTCCATGGAATTGGATCTCGTCTCCTTCATGACGTTTAGACATGACAGAACGACTTGCGCTTGTAGGAGCAGCCCGGACGGCGGCCACGCTTCGTTTCCTTCCCGCGGTTAGTGCAATGCGGCTTGGCGTGGCTTCCCGGAACGCCGGCGGCGCCGAAGTGGCGGTACGACTCCCGGCCCGTTTTCCGGCCGCGCAACAAGAACGTATTCTTCCCCGTGGGTGCGATCATGGCCAGTTGATCAAAAGTCAAGCACTCACCACCGGCCGCCGTGATGCTTTGCCGCGCGTTCTTCGAGAAGCGCAGCGCACACACTCGGAGGGCCGGGATGCGCGCCATGCGGACATCGTCGAGAACATCGCCAACAATGACCGCAATCGGAGTCTTCTTGCTCTTCTCGAGAAAGTTGCACTTCCGCTTCATGACGACGGCAATGCGGCTGAGCGAGACCGGCGCGCGGTTGCTCCGGCTCTTCAAAAGGCGCTGGTAGACGAGCTTGTTAAAGCCAGAGTTCGTGCGTTTGGCCAAGAACTTGTAGAGCTTGAGAAGAAGTTTGGTGTAGGGGTTGCTCGAGTAAGTGTGATTGCGGATCACCCGCTTCTTCTTGGAGACACCGGTCAAATCCACGCCCATGGTTCTTAGTCCAATTCGGGTCCTTGATTTCGATTCGTGTTACACACTATGGGAATTATGAAAGGTTAAATAAATTTTAAAAAGTGGACAAAGAGATAATATTGCGAAGACTTAGGAACAGTACGCACATATGTATAGTCATTGATCTGGATGGGCTTCATGTCGATATATTAGTGTTTAGCTCACGTTAGTATGGTAAAAAAAAAAGACAACACAATTCTGAAAAAAAAGGAGCTCATTTTGAGCGATTGCCTTTAGTGAATGGCATTGACGCACTATATTATATTAAATATAGTTTAGTACACTTATCTTCTTTCATTACGCGTAACCCCCTAAAACTTTTTCCAGTTTGTCCAGTTCTGCTAATATAAATGGAATGATTTTATTTCCTTATATTTCTAATAAATTAGAAGGGACAATCAGTGTTAATTAGCGGCAACAAAATTGTCATTTGCTGCTTACTATTTCGGTGAAGCTGTCGACACAATTATGAAAGGTAAAAATCAAAAAAGGTTTCATTGTGCGCATAGAGACTAGCTTCGGTCCTCGAGAAAATAAATCCATCCCCCTCCCCCCTCCCCCTCCTTCCTCTCACATGAGCAAAATGAGCATCACACACCTCTACTTCAAGGTGGATTGCACCCACGGTTTGAGGAAGGATTAGTCAAGTCTGATTTATCAAATACCTCTAAATAATTGATAAAAAAAATGCAAAACTCAGTTGTTATATAGGGACTGCACTAACACAAATATAAAATAGATAAGGCAATGAATAACCTCAAATTTGGCTGTACCGCTTCGCTAGACAACTACACTAACCTTGCTACTTCCCACCCCTGGGAAACGGTAGGATGATTAATTCTCAATCAGAAAATTCTGTTGCTTCAGGCTTTTGATTTCGTGCTAATCCTTCGAGTGGCTTACCGAGTGAATCGTAGATCCATACCCATGACTCCGTTCCCTGGAACTTCGTCCGTGCGTGAAAAGTGCTTCCAGTGCTGCTGCCAGTTAAAGAGCCCAGTGCATTTTCTTTGTTTGTTACCTCCGCTTCAGAACCCTTTTTCGGAACACCGTCACCACCACCTTCACACAGTGCGTGTGCACCAGAGTGGCGGGAAACCGAAATGACCATAGTGGATGTTCGAGAATCGTCCGGGGGGGCATTAACCACTACCCATGTACCTGACTCAGTTTCCCCTCTAAGCTGTTCTGCGCCCCATCCCGAAAAGCCGCAAATCACCACCACACTCTTTTGCAACGCCTCATTAGCGTCAAGCTTTTCCATTAAGACGTCGAAATCACCATTGAGCCACAAATTTTCAGCGATAGGGAGCGCGTTGGGTATACCAGGAACCGAATGCAAAAGAAACAGATTGTCCTCGAATGTGCCCATCATAACAGGCCCACCCACCATAACGGTATGCATGCGAAGATGCTTTGCAAAAATGGCGTGGATGCGGCTAAAGCGAACCGTCGCGCTGACCGGCACATGGACCCCCTCATCGTTTTCAAGTGGCTTGTTCAGAACAAAGGCGGCTGACTCGTTGCTAGCGTGCCGCACGACTAACATCACACTATGGCGAAAGAACCCACCCAGTTGAGGGTGCGCCAGGAGCAACTGCACCGTAGTTGGGGTAATGGGCGGCGATGCGGCCCCGTGATCCGACTCCCCGTCCTCACCATTGTCGTCGTCGTCCCCCCTCTTGGGTTCGCTGGTGTCCGGTTCAACCTCCCCACCGGTTTCCTCCATCGGTTTCGCGGGCTCGGGGTCGGTGGAAGCCTCCTCCGCTGACTTGGCTTCCTCGGTGTCGGTCTCCGCAGCCTGAGAAGTCTGTTGCCCGCGGTCGTCTGTCGTGCGGTCTACGTCCCCGCTCTCAGTGGAAGGGATCTCCACTTCTTCATCGGACCCACGCCCAATCCTTCGGCGAGCTTCTTTTCGTCTGGCTTCGAGCCTTTGGGCATAACGGGCACCTCGACTCATCAGTGACTGTCGGAGTTCATCCGTAAGGCCTTTAATAAGAAGATGATGCATCGGTCGTAACTCGAGCACGCGCTGAATAACCGGGAGATCGATCTGTTGAAGCTCAACAGGAACGCCTACGAGAGAGGCTTTGGTTTGGTTCGCGATTTCACAGATGAAACTCAGCTCCTTAACAGCGGCAAGGGAATTGGTGAGGTGGTTTGTGGAAAATGGAGTTGTGGCAAAAAAAAACGTAACGTTGGGCACAGGAGATCGTACGGTTTTACATCTAAAGGGATATGTGTAATAGAAGTACCATCGGAATGCTTGGACCCAGTTGAGGTTGAGTTGGAGTTAGGTCCATCTTCTGGCGTTGATGTCGAAGACGAAGCCTTCGTCATAGGTTCATCCCTCTCTGATTTTCCAGCTTCACCACCCTTTACTGTTGCCTCGGTTTTTTGCTGAACCATCCGAAAATTATGCAAATTCATAGCCGCCACCGCCTCCTCACGTAGGGTTGGAGGAATATAAAACTGCCTGATATTGTTAAGGCGTCGAATCAAGTTGTCGAAGAAAATGCGACTATCTTGCCATGATGATAACTTACCCACGTTCAGTGGAACCCACTCATTAATACTATGATTGTAAACTTGGATTGGAGTGCAGGATAGCATGGAACGCAAGGCAATATCATTATCTACTTGGCTGCACATTTTCAGTAGCCTGCGGTACGTTGTAATGACAACCTTATTCATATCTATAAAAGAAAATCTCAGTTTGTGCCACAATGAAACACGTGGTTAACTTTTAAAGTCTTAAATCCCTTCAAAGAGAGTCGATACTAAAAAAAAAATGCATATAATTATATATTTATTGAGTGCTCATTTTTTTTGATAAATAATAGTAGAATTCAAGAGATACTTTTTTGTCATTCACCTTATTTCCCTATTTCGACCACAAAAGAATGGGAAGAAACATTCAGAAAAAAAAGGGAATTACACTAAAAATTCATTTGTGTCAATAGGTATATGTACCATTGGGCCAAAGTATTTGTGACATATAAACAACCATACAAATCCGAAGGGTTGATACTTCCATTTTGCGGTAGTTATACGTGAATAAGTTTGCGTGTAGATTTCTAATAAAATGAAAGGATAGGAAGAAGGTGGAGAATATTTACTGTATCGTAGAGTTGGAGTGACAATTGAGCACCAGGCTTGCCATCCCTTGAACCAAACAGATAGCAAACATAGCTAAACAGTCATTCTTACTCGTGGTTCATTCATTCCTCACGGTCTCTATATCTCGATACTCAAACAATAGGACTCAGATCGAATGACTATAAGTGGTAACTAGGAGCAAGTGTAAATTAGAACGTTTTGGTGTAAAATGCTTGTTGTTCTAGCTACACTAAGGCCCAGCTACCTTTCTCTTTATCTTGCCTTGACACAATTCGCTTTAAAAGTTGGTTCAGATAAATCGAAATAACTTGTAGACTACCGAGCAGCGAAGGAACAAGTGAGAATTAAGACATTCAAAAAACTCCGGATTGAAGCCTTCTATGCCGTGTGTGTTCATTATCTTCTTTGATAGAGTGGTATCGTTCCAGAACTATTTATTAGCGCTTTCATGGCATCACTCTTTCATTGTCAAGTATGCTTTACCATAATCAGTGATACTGGCGACCAATAAATACAATTAGATTTGCCAATACTATCAAAGGTAATTGTTTACCTTCTGTTACTGAGGTCGACCACATTAAAAGTAGACTACAGATAACACGGGACTAATAAAGTACTACTTTCTCCTGTGAAGCACTAGGAGGGACGGCAGACTCCGGGAGATGGGTATGATCTTGCAGAGTGGGGCTCAACACTGCCAAGGATGACGTTACCCCAGTGGTGACCCTGCGATCAGCGCAAAGAATGGCCGATTCGCCTAGTCGTGTGCTGTCGACGTCGCTTGTTTGGGATGAAGACAATAAAGCGTAGTGTGTGGACCATGCAGGCAGCACGGATGTTGAAAACGAGTGAACTACTTGCTGGTGTTGCCGTTGATGGGTTGCTCCTCTGTGGGGAACCGATGTGCTCTTCTCTCCTTCGGATAGAACCATGCTACTGTTAAGCGACGCCATTATCACAGAACTCCTGTTCCCGATTCCCTGTTCCGGTGAATGCTTCGTTTTTCCACCATATGTAGTGGCTATGGTGGTCCTGGCGGATGTCTTGTGTAGTGATACCTGCTGTTGTTGAGTGGCAAGATGGTACTGCTCATGCAAATGGCTCAGTTGTAGATCCGACAACTGCTGGTGGTGCTGTTTCTGTCGTTCCAATGCTATTAACGCAGCATTCAACCCTTTCTTAGCTGTCATCATTTGCTCTTCCAGTTTTCTATGACGAACCACTAATGATTTACGCTCCTTTTCAAGTTTTTCGCCCTCTATCTTCGCACGTGCTGCTTCAGTATTGACTTCAACCTGTTGTGACGCTAAGGAGGACTCTGCGCGTTGTAGCTCGTTGAATGTATTCGCTATAGAAAGCCAAAACTGGCACACATCATCATAAAGGCTTCGCATGACCGTTAGCTCGCGACTGTGAGCTGCCCACTCCTGTTTCTGTGTAGTGTGTAACCTTCTATGCTGTGCGTCTCGCTCCCGCAATCGATCTGCGACAAGCTGAAGCAGATAGGCAAGTGTAATATCCCCTGAAGAAACAAGCGTTTCGACACCCACAATCGCCTCTACTGCAGGCTCCTTGTCTGTTTCAGTGAATGGAGATGCAAGTATAGGCAACTCAAGGTGAATAGCCGCACTGAGGTTCTCTTGATGGTCACGCTCCCACATCCTACGAGCAAAGTCAACTTTAGATTGCTGAATCCTCTGGACCTGCCGGCTCTCCTGGAGGCGTTCCACAGTCTCTACTAAGTTTTGGTGAATACGTTGACGTAGCTCCTGACAACGTTGCTGATGAACATTCAACTGCTCTCTTTGCTGCTGCGCGGTACACATGAGAGTGCGTACCATCTGCTCAGTCTCAACTATCAGAGAATGATGTTGAGTAGTATTAAGTCCAGTTACTTTACGCTGAGATTTCACGGATAAAACTTGTTCCTGGATAAGCCCCCTGAGCTCCTTAAGCTGCGCCTCTATAGATTCTATTCCACATCGATTGCTTGCAGTCGTCGCGTCCAAACGCAACTTCTTGAAGCGTTCCTGTGTCTGGCAATCTATCCGAGAACGCATCCTTGAAATATTTTCTTGGAGTCCACTAAGTTCCGCACGCTGCAGTTGTCGGCGAACGGAAGCTTCAGTTTCACATCGACCCTTCACCTCTTCCTCTTGAGCTTGTCTGATTACACTATCCCCCTCGCGAGTGAGCATGCTTCGCCTCTCTAATGCCTGGCAGCCTTCTGAGGCACTTTGCTCAAACTGGTCAAGCGTACGCCTCACTTTAGCAGACACTTCAGCTGTGAGACACAAGAGACGCTGTTTAGATTCCTCCTTCAGCTGAGTAAATGCATTCCGGACTCTCTCACGTAGAACTTCGAGGCTTTCCTGTCTTTTTGCTGCTCTTTGCGAATACCATTGGAAGTGACGATCCATCATATTTGTAATGTAGCTCCCGTAATGTAGTTTCTGGTCGGTCATATTCTCAAACCAACCTTTCTCTCTACGAATGCGTGCTGCATGCGTCACTTCAAACGTCTCACTATGAATGTAATCGACCACATGTTGCTTGACTGCATCCAAACGGGCATCATAGTAGCCTTGCAGAATACATAGGCCGACGTTGATAAGGGACTCAAATGATTCGTTTCCATCCTTGCTTGTCGCCTCTGTAGCTTTTAAACTACAGTTTGCCTGCCCTTGTAGCTGTGTAGTCGCACCGGGCGCTGAGCTTAACATCGAGGGATGCAGTACGGGTCTCAACGGGTTCGACGTCGCATCAGAAGATGTTGAAGCAACATCGTTGTGTTGACGAGACATGTTCGACTCATGTTCTCCAACTGCACCCCCCTCTTTCGCTACTGAGAGGGCGAGATTGATGCCTTTCGGGCTATATGGATCGGTTTGAATAAGAAGTGCCCGTTTACAACGTAAGTCTGCGACAGAGTTACTTACCCTCAACAAAGACTCCTGTAGGTGTAGAAGTTGATTTTTGAACCGTTCAGTATCCTTATCGCGCATTCTCTGTTTTAAATTGTTCATCTCCTCGGTATGGTGGTCACTCATCGCCTCCAAACGAGTAGTAGTCTCCTTCCGCACCGCTTCACAGGCCTCACCCAACTGCTTCTCCTGCTCTTCTAACTCCATTGATTTCATTAGCCTTGTCGTACCCAGCTCAATGATCTCAGCCTCTCCCTTGGCTTGTCGTGTGTCTAACTTGTCATCAAGCTCTTTTATCTCGGCGTTGATAGCATCCAAGGAAGCATATAGGCCGCGCATCTCAGTGCGGTGTTTTTCGACTTCGGCGGCGTGCTGCACTGCGATCTCATCAACCTCGGTATGCTTCACGGTGTTGATCGCATTAGGTGTTTTATGCGCTTCTGGTGGTGAGCTCCAGTCCAAGAAATCTAAAGTGCCTTTTCCAGTATCAAACCTTTCTTCGAAAACATCAATACTCGCTGTTTCTGCTTTTATAGTTGCTCTCCGCCCTGCTCTTCTAGGTACTTCAGGAGCAGCACCCACCATTGAAGACGACGTCGTTTCCAACGGCACCGGGGACGGTGTTTGGTGGTTATCAAAACCATCGGATACGAAAGGGAAAAGCGGTGATTTCGATGTCGACGCTACAGTTGCTCGACGGCCTGCTGTTGGGCGAGGTGGTATGGCACCCAGAAATGACGGAACAGTTTCTGCTGAGGGTGATAACGAGGTTCGCGTGGTAGCGTTGCGGCTGGGGTCCACCACAGATGTGGGGCGCCTCCTTTGATCGGTCCCCACGGTAGTGGGGTGGATGTTCTTCAAATCGTCTTCAAATAAGTCAAAGTTCATCTTGATTTCGCCTATCTACAGCTCCCTTCCTCTATCGAAATACTAGACCACAGTTTCCCTCCTGGCTTAAGTAAAGGGTTGTCTGGCTTTTAACCAGATCTAGAGTCTATAATATACAGTTTATGGAATCCAAAAGAGGAGCTATATAATTATTTTAAAAGTCTGAGGAATATATTCGGCGAATTGTTAGAAACAAAATCTTACAGGATAAAATCGATATTCGGCTCTTAGAGCCACCATAGTGATCTTGAGCAAAAGATGATAAATTACTTTTTTTTCATGATTATCGAATAATTAGTTGAATGCTCACTTAAATATTTGGAAAAATAAAGAATTCATAGAAAATAAAAGAGAAAGATCATCAAAATTTGAGATATGCGATGAAAATAATCTAAAACAGAAGGTTAATAGGTTGGAATATTTTTTATCACTTCCACCTCTACAGTGGAATGAGCCCGTGTATGTTCAAAATACTTCATAACTCACTTCGCTTCACTAGTATCTTCATCTTCTTCATCCGAGTCATCCCCTTCAAGCCACTTGCGATTCGCATCCAAACGGGCCTGATCACGGGCCTCACTGCGCAACACAAATGGATTGAGCAAGGACTTTTGCCATATCTTCCAAATAATGTCGTTGTACTGGGCTAAACGCAAATTCGGCTGCTCACTTTTGACCTTTTCGAATTGCTCTTTGTAAAAGGTCTTGTACAGAGTCTTCGAACGTTTCCCAATGTGGCGATTCTCTGGAATCGCTTGCTGCTGAGACCGAGGACTCTTCAACATCGCGCCTACGGTTTTGCTGGAAGCAATCAGGGCCGGGTCCTCCGATGACTCCACCTTAGCCTGATGATTTTTATTACTCATCGTTAATTCGATATTATTAGTGTCATGCGTAGCGTTGGCTTTGGTTTGATTTATAGAACCCCGCACTAAGTCACGCTCTTTATCATATGCGGCCAGTGCCTTGCTCAAGTTCTTCTGAAGCTCACGCTTCTGGATATGAGCTGGGAGTTTTCCCTTGGAATGCTCAGCCTCTTCCATTGAGAGTTGTTCACGCTTTTCAGCATCACGAATGGATTTTTCTTCTGCTTTACGCTCCTGCTCACGTTGCTTTTCCATCCTTTTAGGAACCTTGGCGTTACTAGTCCACTTTGCATCTTCTTGGGCGGCCTCCTGCGCCTTCTTGAACTCCAAGAGGCGCTCTTGCTCGCACTTGCGAGCTTCCTCGCTGTGACGGTTAGAGTACTTGTTAGATTTAGGCCCACTAGGCATGTTTACTTGTTTTTGTTCACAAATACTTAAAATTCTGTATGTTTTCTCCTTATAACAACCTACAAACCACATAAATAACAATGAGAAAGTATAGATAAATAATCACAAAAAAATGGATCAAAAAAATGTTAAAAAATGTAACCTTAATGATTAAAGGACTCTCGCTCGGGGACACAGTTACTTGTTACGCCTTCCTACAGAACAAGTGTTTCATATACATATAGATATATATATATATATGTATGTATATCATACGACGAGCTGCATTCCAACCAAAGCACCATCTCGGACCCTAGGCCGAAGCGTGGTTCGCGTACACACACTTTGACACCGTACGGCAATCGTCTTTGCCATCTGTAGGGATTCGAAGTCAGAATGATATAGAAGTGATCCTCTGCGGTTAAGGAAAAAGACACCAGCGTTTTCCACAACCACAGTTGATTGGAGCGCGCGAGGGAGAGAAACGGAAACGCATGGAACACGAACCTCTGTATGACATCTACCTTTGAAAGTTGGTAAGCCCTGCTTATGGTACTCCGTTTGTGTTGGGTACGTGCAAAGGACTACCAGGCGCCCAATAGGGACCTCTCCTCGCCGTAGCGCAGGTACTTCGTTGCCATCATGCCAGTGCATCGTTTGAAGAATCTCATCCATTGTAGCTAGGGCACCATTGGAGCGCTCGGAAGCATCAAAATAGCTTGTGCGGATCCCAGTGACGTCCACCATTGGGAGGTACCGTAGGCGACGAGGTATCGATGAGGAAATGGTACGAATAAGGAGATCCCCTGCATAAATATGAGTATCTGATCTCAAACCCTGTGAGCTTGATGTATCCAGGTGTTGACGTGAAGAAGATGTAGCATTCAGGAAGCGCCGGTGGTAATACGAATTTCCTGACAACGATTGTGGGATAGCTGATGCTTGCCTCGTTGCCATAGATGGGTCATCCTTCTTATTAAAAGAAGGAGTGAGTTCAACAAAATTATCATTATGCTGATTTTTTTTTGTAATCACATTTTGCATAAGAATGCATCGGCCAGTGAGCTGCAATGTCAGGTAACGAGAATAGCAGTGATTCATTTTTTTCACACTTGACTCACTTCAAGATTTTGCTTCTACTTCTTGCATAATAATGTTATCAGTGTTTTCGTTGTTCTCGTCGTCAACACATGATGTTTTTGGCAATGAGAAAAGACTTGTCTGGATCTTCATTACGAGTTAAATTTAAAAAGTGAACGGAGAAGGTTAAAGTAAACAACAGCAGTCAAGAAAAGGAAACGAAAAAAACTAAAAAGATAGACCATGGTATCACTCCATTTTTTTTATGTGTAGGATATCATTAAAGCAAACTTAGCTTCTTGACATGTCATAGACTCCTTTTTCTCTTTTAGTGAACACTTCAGGAGAGAGAATATAAATATTATGTTGTTGGCCTTTCTTTTGTTGCGAACACGCTACAATGAAAAACTTCCATTATAGATATAATATATTATAAAAAGTCCGTGAAACGGATCCTATTCGTCAGCAATTCAAACGAAATTACTTGCATGACACTTAATTTTAGGACATGAAAGCTCGAAAACATATTGTTGATCCATGCCTACGAATGAATCGCACACCACATAAACACTCATCTCAGTCCCACATCCTGTACTCCCCTTCAAAGGGTGTTGAGCTTCAGCCTTCGACCAATTCTCGTCCCATTCCACGCGTAATTTTGTTACACTCCGACGATTCAGGCGATTAACACGCTTAAGGGCAACAAGCTCGCCCGTGGCCTCATGGCCAAGACACACATAGTACTGTTCGTCCTTGTTCTTTGTGAAACGAGGTGCTACAACGTGCTTTCGAGGCTGAGAAAGTCGCTCTAGGTACACACTAACTTCAAATACTGGGATATCATTCCTATCATTTGTGTGAAATTCCTTAGTCTCAGTTGCCTCAGACTCGAGAGAACGCACAGAAACATCAACTTGCACCAGTGGTAGGCCCTGAACCCCCTCCATCGCCTCATACACTTGGTCTGCTATGAGGCCAAAGTCAGGCCGCTGCAATACTTTCTCAAAACGCTGGAAAGTCTCAAGAGAGCTGTTGGCTAACTCTGCTATGTGATTTATGCCACATTCGTTTTGTATAACCGGCAACATCTCTAGAGTAACGTTAGGAATCTGTAATAACGTAGGACCGTTCCACCACATACCCTGCACTATGCACTGCATCAGTGTCATACAACGCAAGGATGCATATAAATGTCCATTGTTTGCAGCTACATCAACCATGGCCTGAATTATACGCACCGCGTTATCTATTACGGATCTCTGGTCCGTGATGTAGTCAGTTATGGGAAGCACCGCGCGCTCGAAATGGGATTCAAAAAGTAAAAAAGCCTTCAAATTTGGACTATCTGCTTCGTCAGCTGACACAGGCAAGGGAAGCCTACGGGCTAGTTCCATGTTTAGCTTGTCCTCATTGTGTCGCACAGGTACCTCATTATATTCTTCTGTATCACAGAGAATTCGTAAAGCCTCCACACAAGTGATGGATGGCAGAATCCTACGATTAAACATTCCAGCCGTGCGATGAGAAATGTAGTAGTACGAACACAACTTGCCGAGAACCGTGTATTGCAATACGTTTGGGTTTGCATCTTCATCTGTGTAATCTCCAAACTCGATACAACCATTTTCCTCCAGTTCATCCAATATATCCTTCACTAGATTAGAAAAAAACAATGTCACAGCCTTGGGGGAACCGTCCTCGAGACCATAATAAGATGGGTTACGTGTAACACGGCGAAATAAGTAGGTCCAAGTAAGGTAATTCATGGCATCCTGCCGCGTTGTGATAATACCAGAAACAATTTCGGCGTTAATATGAACATGAAGCTGTTTGTGAAGGTCGCTCTCCACAGGAAATGGGTCGTACAAAAATTTTCGGTAGAATCCTTTCTTCGCCTCGTGGCATAGCACTTGGGCCACCCCCTCGGTGTCATATTGTGGTCTTCCTGCGCGCCCAATCATTTGTAAAACCTCAACAATGGGAAAATCGATGTAGCCTTTTGTTTTAGCGTCATAATACTCAGTTCCCTTGACGACAACCATATGGGCAGGAAAGTTCAGTCCCCAAGCCAACGTCGAAGTTGCCACGAGAACCATAATTTTGGTAGAACGAAACGCCTCCTCAACAATGAAGCGGTCGCTCTCTAACAAACCAGCATGATGAATTCCAACACCAAACTGCATGCAGTGCTTTAAGTAGGGATCAGTCAATTTAGAGATCATTTTCTCGATCTCATCAACTTCCATATGTATCCACTTTGGTGTGTTATTTTCTGCCAAAAGAAACCCAATAAGCGCCATGGCAGTCCGACGTGTCTGTCTCCGAGATGAAGCAAAAACAATGACCGGCTGAGTAGGACTTTTCTCACAAATAGCGTTGTATGTAGGCTTATTCATGGCCGCCATGCGCAAAGCGTAGTGCCTTCCGTGATAACCGGAAATGTGGACTATCATAGGGACTGGACGCACGGATGGGTCGAAGTTGAAGATAGCACACTTCTCCACACCAAGCCATGAGCTCAAATCCATCGGATTCGAAACCGCTGTTGACAAACCTACTAAACGAATCGGGGTACTCAAACTCCATCCAATGTACCGCATACGGCTTACAATCACCTCTAAAATAGGGCCTCGATCCGTACCCAGCATGTGGATCTCATCAAACACTACCAGCTTTACTGATGTCACATAGCTTCGCACCTGCCAGTTGCGCGAAATACCATCCCATTTCTCTGGAGTGGTACACAAAATATCAGCTTTGACCAAGGCAATAATATCAGGGGTTGAATCACCAGACAGTTCCACCACAGACCTGCCGATCAGTCGCATCCGCCGCTGCCAATCCCGCAGCCGCTCCTTTACCAATGCCTTGAGCGGAGCAATGTAGACAATCTTCCCGGAAGAAAAATGATCAAACACACGCAAAATGGCCAACTCTGCTGCTATAGTTTTACCACTGCCAGTAGGTGCTCCCAAAAAGACATTTTTATCTGTATGGTACATAACATGAAAGACCTGTGTTTGCATGGCGTTGAACTGACTGTGACTCGCGAACATCTTTTGGTACTTCTCGGGCAAGACAGTTAAACGAAGCGGTGCGAGTGGAAGTAGCTTAGTTGTCATTTGGGCGTCCTCTGGTAAATGTAGGTGTCCAATCGAAAAAGTGTAATCCTCCTGGCAACCCATCCAGCGATCACTATACAGACGTACCGAATACATGTCATACTGAGGCATAATAGGAATAGACAGATTCACGACGTGCGGCTCACCACTCTCGACCTCCTTGCGCGTGATCAGAACAGATTCGTGATGGAAAATAAAATGGTTATCTTGGTCTTCCACAAGCAGCCAAAACATCTCTGAATTGCCTGAAATGTCGCGGCTCCATTCAAAATTCGACTGGATTGTAACTTTAACACGAAGAATAGTGCATGTGATAGGCTGGACGTCGATGTGCAGCTGCAGAGTTGGGAATTTTGAAACGAGAGCAGCGATATCACGTCCACTGCGCATGTTATGCACCATATCACCGATTTCCTTTGGCGTAAGCTCCTGCAACATAGATATGCTTGGATTACGATTTTGCAAATTGCTCCAGACGGCATCTGGTATATTCACCTTATGGCTCCAAGTAGGGAACTGAAGAAGTGGATGGTCAAAGTCCCAGCACTGATGCTCCAAGCATTTGCACAGGGTAAGAAAGATGTATGTTGTAAGAGGGTGACCGCGTTCTAGCTCAATTTCAAAGAGTGCCCTGGCAATACGAGGGGCATTTTGAACAATGTAGTTGACATCTGCCGATAACGAATGGTCCTCGATATACAAGCGACTTATATACGCCTTAAGTAGCGTCATTACCTTCCACTGAACGCTTGTCTCATCGGCGCTCTCGCCGGTGATGCGGTACTCACGCACCGGCCTAGGAAGCTGCATATGTAACTTCTGAAGTGTGTTCAACTCCTCTTGGCGCACGCGCTGCGTTGAGAACTCGCTAGCACATGCCAACACGTTCATAGCAGTGCCCATATCAAGCGAGTCTTCCCAAGTCCCGTCTGGGCGCCGCATTTTCTCATTGAAAATGCTGACCGTAGTGTGTGTGAGGTAGTAGTGACTTGCCAAGCGACCCAGATCAGTAGGCTCAACAGAACCAATTTCAGGATTGTACTGAACCATTCCAATTACCGCTAAATCAGAGAACGCGTCGTGAATAATCTCGTACCTGACAGCTTTTAGTTCAGGATCCTTTCGAATGTTGCTTATCTTCAACCCATATATCAGCGGATTGACACGAATTCGCTGCCATAGATAAGTATACTCTAGCCAGGAAGATGCCTCAGAAATAGATGATATCGTTCCCGCACTGACCTCTGCATTGAGATGATCACGTAACTTGGACTGCATCTGACTCTCAATTGGCAACGCGCTAGAAATGAGTCGAAGAAAATGACTAATTTCTTTGTCGTCAGAAATAATAATACCGTGTCCTCTGGTGTCGAACTGAGGACGCCCAGCACGGCCGAAAATTTGCATCACATCCAAAACCGAAATTGATACCAGACCACCGCGTTTCGGGTCGTATAGTTGCGTCCCACGTATAACCACAGTATGCGCCGGAAGGTTCACACCCCATGCCAGGGTACTAGTACAGCAAAGCACTCGAATGTAGCCCTCGCGGAAGAGGCTTTCAGTAGTTGTGCGATCGTACCGAATGAGTCCCGCGTGGTGTGCCCCAAATCCACTCTGGAAGAGCGTGTAAAGATCTTTGCCCTGTAAATTACGAGCTTTCTTTTCAACATTCGAAGGAAGTGTAGTGTCGAATCGAAAATATCGTTCATTACCACACAACTTCATTTCATCTATAAAATACTTGCATAAGTTTACAGTTTGCTTTCGTGAATGAACAAAAACCATGACTTGATGTCCTTCTTTCACATTTTGAAGGACCTCTTGATAAGCTAACTCATTTAGACGCGTCTCTTTATTCTTGTTAGAAACATCCTGCATACCAATGAAGGTCTGTTCCAACGGTACAGGACGGTATTCGGGGCCAAATACCTTTAGACCTTCTCCTAAATCAACGTGTAAGAAATTAGCCACATCCTTGTAATTAGGCAGGGTTGCAGATAACCCGATCAAACGCACGCGGTGATCTGTATCCATCTCTCCTTGCCTCATTGTACGGGCCACAAGCGCTTCAATTACGGGGCCCCGCTCCTCATTCAGTAAATGGATCTCATCAATAATGAGAAGCTTTACCTTATTCATTAACTCTTCATTGCTTTTTTTACGTGTGATAACGTCCCATTTTTCCGGGGTCGTGACAATTACCTGTGTTTCCACTATATCGCGTCTCGTCAACTGCATGTCTCCCGTTAGCTCACGCACCTTGATCATAAACGGCGCCAGGCGACGCGAAAAATTCTCAACCATTTCTTGTGCCAATGCTTTCATCGGAGCTACAAAAATTATCTTGAAGTCACGATTTAAAATACCATTTTCAAAATTTTCGTTTATACAACGCAGCATCACCAGCAGTGCACAGACAGTTTTTCCGGCCCCTGTTGGTGCACACACTAGCATATTTTGTGAAGTGTGAAAGGCTGTCTCAAAAATGGATGTTTGAATCGTGTTCAAATGAGTAATGGAAAGAAAGGCTGGGTGTGTCCACTCTGGCAGCGAAGTTGCTACGCAAACACGCTTATCAAGTGGAAGCATTTCAAGCTGAGGAGGTGGGATATGGATACGAATATGATCGCTCTGTCGCGTCACAGTAGTTCCCTTGGGTACAGCAGATCCAATTGTGCTAAGGTCCTTACGAAAAATGTAGTCTAGCTCATATTCCGCCATTAAAGCACGATATCGACTCTTCATGTGTTGAAGCCAACGCAGATTTTCGATCTCACCATTACTGTCGAATGCAACATTCTGATCTTGGGATCGCTGTTTACCTCCGCTTTTCACGAAACGTACGGTGAGTCCTATTGGGTCAGATCCACCCACCATGTTGCTGTCGCTCTTGTCGTCATCCTCTAAGGTGCAAAATCCCTCCAGTAAACGCAAAAAGATGTCCCGTGGTTTGTACAAGATACACTGCAAGAGGTTACAGTGCTTCTCACCAAATGTCTCAAGGAGTGTATCGATTACTCTCATCTTCATAAGCTCTTGTTGTTCAGTTGTCTCACACGCCGTGACACGGTCAAGCCCATTTAGCAATAGTTTGGTAAGATCCTCATCAAAGACCACGTACACCTGGGATACTATATCATCTACAGTGGAAAGAAGCATATCTAGTGGTACTTTAGGGAGTGCCTGATGTGCCAAATAACCAGCTCCTCCAGCACGATCTCCTCGAGGGGATAAAGGAACACCAGAATGCGTAATAATACGTATGGAGTGCTGTGGTTGCATAGACGCGGCCACAAAACTGGTAGGGGGCGGGCTTTCGTCACTAAAGTTTTGCACCAGCGTGGAATAAACAGAAGTTACAGCGTTCTGAGAAGATTTGCAGGAAAAAAAAACATCCTTCTGTCGTCTCAACGCAGACTCCACGGCATCAATCACTGCACTTTGGCCACCCTTGCTCACACCTACCTCTGAGCTCTTGATAGATCTGCCAGATACATGATTTTTTACTCGTGTATGGTGACTGTTTCCGAGAAACCCTCCCGTACTCCGTATATCGACTCCACCTGTGATCGGCGTCTGTACTCTCTCAGAGTGAACAAGATCACAACTATTAATACTTTCAGTGTCATTAGTAGACTTAGAAATGCCATTTGTTCGCATTGTGGTAGACTTCTTTGTCAACTTTTCATTTGACATAGTGCTAGTGTGTACAGCCCAGCATGAATTGCAGTACCATTGATTGTTATCAAGGTCAATTGCGCCCTCATCATAGGATTTACATTCTGCACACAGACCCCGTTTTGGTGGCATAATCCACAATCGTGTATACCTAAATGGAACAAAATATGGCTTATTTTCAATGAAAAATGATAAAGGGAAAAGTCATTGAGTTGCAGAAAAAGCCAGGGAACACGTAAAAATAGATAATCCCAGTTTATGCATCAGATTATCTCTTAATTCTTCTATCAGTACCCAATTGGCTCTTCCCCATACATATCCCCTTAATATAGTGGACGATATTCAAGCCAATTAGAGCTTTTAGCTATAACGGATAAAAATTCGAGTGTGAAGCAGGTCAGTAGAGCCAAACTCTTCCACTTGCCAATCCACAGGTGTACCGAAAGAGCTCGAAAATGTGGCGTCATGAACATGACGTGAAACAAAATTTTCACGCGGAAACGTATTTTGCGTGCACAGAGTACCTTGAGATTTTTTTTGGTTTCCACGGCCTCGGTTGGCAGACGCAACAGCTGAACTATCCATCTTTTGACGCTCTTCTAAGGAGGGAATACGATAATAGTTATTATGTCGCGTAAGAGTGGTAATGCTGCAGTACGGTACCGAGACACCATCACCGTGGCTCAAGTATTTGGGGCAGCAAACTTCAACCAACCCAGCGATTATATCCCCATGGGTGACTGCCATAATGTGTAAAGGCGGGAGGAGCGCTAGAAGATGTGTCTGTTTTTTACTAGTTCGTCGTTCTAATGAACGAGGTATGAAGTATTTTGGTAACTGTTTGCGTCTCTCGGTTTCGACAGATGCATGAACTGACGCAGGAGTTGTACAAACCGATGACTCGCTATTTAAAAAATATGTCTCAACTATCTCCTGGCAACGTTTCAGAAGATCCGCCCTTCGTTCGGGATGTTTCACACCACATCCAAAATAATCCGATGATCGCCTTGAGCAAGTATCCGGTTTTAATGTGGAAAACGAAGTCGTCGTTGAAGGATGGTTGCCTTCGCTGCGTTGTGGGTTGGAAACCTCGATTTTGTCAAGAATAAAACTCTGATAGACACTATGTGTCCAGACCGGCAGGGCCAGGTGATCATCTAGCCACGTTTCGAGTGTCCGGGCCCACTCTCGGGCGATTTCAGGATAAACCAATATTCCATCGGCAGTCTTCTCTTTCAAAACTTCTTCTGCGCGCGTTTGTAGAAAAGGTAAAAGAGAAGCACGTAGAGCATTAACCTGAGGATAGAAAAACAGAAGCCTTCTGTCCTCTTCGCTGTCATCCTCGTTGGTTTGAGACATCATGTATCGCCCGCTTAAGACTGGTGGTGAGCGAAAAACTCTAGATTGCTGCCAGTCTGAGAGCTGTGGACTAATGAACAGGCCCAAGGACCCCTGGAATGCTACAACATTTAATATCAATGCTGTTTCTATGCATCGATGAAATGGAGACACAAGGAAAAAGGAAACTCTACCCCGAATGCGTTGCTCAACAGTTTTCTCCTTCTGTAAGGCGTAATACCTGAGAGCAACTTCAAAGGATTGCATCCGCCCTGCATTTGATAGAGGGGGATCCTGCATAGAAAGAAAATGATTGCCCTTCCATCCGTGGTCAGCGTGGTCTTGCCGCTCACCGTGACGAATAAGAATCAATTCATCCCTAAAGTATGCCTCCTGGTCCAACGGCGAAAGTTGGGGATTTTTTGTAGCGCATGCAAATAAGGAAGTAGTCATGGGTATTATCCCACTCCTTATTGATGCTTCAAGTCTCTCACTCCCCTGGGTCATAAGGAAGTTTAATCGAAAAAAAATAACAGTGGAATATGTATGAGACGGCACTCAAAATGAGGTTGTCTTACGCGTAACTGAACATACAGTGAAAAGTGGAGTATCACTATTTGCTTGGCTGGAAATCGGGTTCTTCAACACTTTCAATACGCTAATACTGTCTCTACCCGCACGAAAAGAAGAAACAAAATTTCGCGGAAATGAGTTGTGGAGACCCAATCAACGTTTCTAAATGTCTTCCATGAAGAATAAAGAGAAGCATAATAAGAACATAATGAATAGATAGATAAAAAACTGAAGAGTTTAGTTTGAAACAGTCTAAAAAAAAAGGATGCATAAAAAAAAAAAAAAAATGTAATAATATTACACACACAAAAATTAGTGATCACGGTAGATCAACACGATCAAAAAGGTGCTCACCGACAGCTGATTTTGACAACAACTCCTTATGAGTGTCATATTCTTCCTCAAGCTGTCCATACATTTGTAATAGTAAATCATTTTTTTTCTTTAGCTCCGCAAGCTTTTTTCTCAAGTCAGCAGCCTCCATTTCAATTCCCTTCAAGCGACCAATCTCAGCAGCCTGTCGAATAATTTCCTTCTCCAGACGATCACATGATTTCACAGCAGTATCATCCCTATTCATGAAGGAAAACAAGACATTGGCCTCAAGGGGAGAAGAGGGGCAAAACACTCTTGAGTGTGAAACCGAATCATTTTGTCGTTGTTTTGTCGCTAACATTGAAGAAGAAGTCTGTGATAAAGTTTCATCAGTAAATCTGTTAGCTGTTTTCGATAAAGTGTCATGCTCTTGATCTATGATCATTTCTATATTAACATCACTATTCTCAGGAACTGTTTTTTGCATATTCACGGCCTCCAGCATTATGCATCGACGTTTCAACTCTTCCACTTCGCGTTGAGTGGTGAGTAATTTCTCTTGAAAAATACCTACCTGTCTCTTTGATAGTTGTATTTCTTTGTTTGCCTCAGACAGTGCTGCTGCTTGTCTCAGTTGATGCTCACGGTGGTTATTTTTTTCCACAGTCTGTTCACGTTTTAGATTGTCATATTTTTCAAGAATATCAACAGTCTCGTTTCTAGCTTTATCCAACGCAGACGACAAAATAATGATTCTCTTTTGTGTGTCCTGCAGCTCAGCCTTTAAATCAGACAAAAAGTTAGCGGATCGAAGTTCCGCTTCTGCTAGATGCATCGTAGCGAAGTGTACACGCTGGTTTGCTTTGCAAATCTTACGCTCTGATTCACAAGCTTGTTCATCAAGTTCAACTCTGGATCTATGCATAGCCTCCCTAAGATCTTTAATTTCGTTCTCTAAACGATTCTGCACCTCCAAGTAGTGCCTATTGAGATCATTTACAGTATTGGTATGTTTGGTATCCATGGTTTGTAGCTTAGACTCAAAAAAGGTATCTGACTGCTGTGTATTGGAGAGTTTTTTAGATAACTCAACAATGCATGCTTTCCGCTGCTTCAGCTCTTCCTCTAGTTTCAATTCTTGATGTTGAAAGCTAATAAGTGACTCTTGTTGTTCATTTTGGACCTTGCGCCACGTGTCTTCCTTTTCTTGATAATCCCTCACAATTAATTCTAATTCACCAATTCTGACTAACAACATCCTACGATCTTCGGTGTTTATTATATTAGACTTCTTTGATTGTCCAAATTCTTCAATCACAGGCATCTCGTCGTTTGTGAAAACAGATGTCAATACTTCTCTCCTCATATCATTCTTTGTCTGTCCTTGCTCAAGTCCTTTCAATATCCTATTATCCTTACTAAACACAGTTAAATTAGTCGCCTCAGACGATGACTGATCAAGCAGTGTAAATTGGTTTTTATTCGCGTGAGTCGTATATTCTCCCCCTACAAAGACGGTATTTTGCTTGACAAATTCAAGGGACTTCTCTTGTGACTGAAGTAAAAAACTGTCAGGCTCAGAATTCTGTTCAGCAGAAGCCATAGCCATTTCCGTACCAACATTCAACAGTATAGATTTTGTTAGAGGTGACTCATTAACTGATGCGGTACTACGAGAATTCGCTTTCACAAGTGCAGAATTTTCATCGATTTCTTCGGAAGCCAAGTTCGTCCCACCATTTTCCAAATGCTGTGAAACTCTAGACGAATTCGGGATGACCGCCTTAACGAATGATTCTAATACCGGATCTTGATTATTAATTACAATCTGGGTTGCATTGTGCGCAGCGATAGTTGAAGAAGGGTGACTATTTTTTAGGTCAACATTCCATATTTGAAAAGCAGAAACCTCCCTCGCTTGAATATTGTCAAGGACCTTTCTATGTACCGAAGGTCTTTCTACACCAGAAGCGACTGTGGCGTCAGTTTCTTCTGCGCCTCTTCTCTTCGGTTCGACCACTAATGATAATATTTGGAAAGACGACGACACGGAAGTTGATAAATTTGGCTGTGAGAATGCAGCCCTAGGCGTGCTATCACCTGATCCGTGTTTTCCTACAACCTGGTCATTTACTCTGTCGGTATCAACAACTTCCTCTTCCTCTTCGTCGTCTTCCTCAACGAGAAAATCTACAGCGGTATCAATTTTTTGCTGAATCTGATCAATCCACTTGCCTAACATTTAGAGCTCCTTCCTTACTTTGACTCTACTATGTGCTCCTTAAAAAAGAGTACATTAACAATGAATGTTAAAAATGATTGTATTGATTTTAAGAGAATACATGTTGAATTTTTACTTCAACCTCGGATAACTTTTTTGTTTTGCAACGCGAACAAATAGCTATTGATATGGTTATATATATATATATATATCAAATGGAATAACCTCAAAGAGACAAAGAAAATAACAACACCATCCTCCCTCATCTTCTCAGTTTAGGGGAGGAAGGAGGGAGAAGAACATTCTTCAACAAAGCGACGTTACAAGATATGGTACACAATGACCATAACTATTAGTAAGCTGGTAGTGATCTTCCGAAAGAAAAGCAAAGGGAATAATATATAAAAAAAAAGCCATAGAATACCAGATAAACGAATCTTAACTTTGAATTTTTTTGTGAGTGATGTTATACAAACTGTGATACACACAAAAAAAAATACACAAGAGAAACCAATAGCGTAGAGCGTTCATAAACAATGCTATACAGTGGAGCTTTAAATCTTTTTGAAAATTTATATGATGTTTGTAAAGGATAGTAAAAAAAAGAATCATGTATTAGTAGCATTTGCAAGAGAATAAAAAATGTTAAGACAATAATTCAGTAGTAAATATAAAGTATAATAGCGATACCATAAGCAGAAAATGAAGGCACAAATTTCAGTATATAAAGTCCTCTCATCTAATAAGCAAATCTAAAAAAGCTATAAACGAAAACGACACTAAAGCAAAAATAGAATAATGCAGTGAAAAATGCATAACAATAGACTTAAAAAAGAAACTACCAGCTTAACGATCAGACAAGAAAATCCGTGCACAAACCAATAAAACAGCGATAAAGTAAATAACCTTTTCTATAGCATAGATTCTTTAATGTTCGCTGTGCTCAATGACAAATCAAAAGGCTCATAAGTAGCGCTTATTCATCCTAAAGTTTCTTATTAGTTTTGCATATTGACTCTTTATTTACTAGTACATGTTTTTTTTTAGTATTTACGAATTCCTTAGTTTGTATGGCTACATGATTTTTCCTTCTTGCTATGTTTCTTAGATTTCTTCAGAGTTAAAGATTAAAAAAAAACCTTATAATTTGTTTCATATTCATATTCAATGACATGGAGAATCGTTGGTAGCACAACCACTCTTTGTATGACAAAATTCTAACTGTCTACATAAGTAATATCACAAAAAAAAACTGAAAAAAATATGAAGGGTTGTGATACGAACCAATTTAAAATGACGAAGGGTTCCCTTGATGGAAGTAGAGAGTGCAGGATCAGCGTCCTCGAGATTAAGTAAATATTACAAAGCCCCATAAATTGTGAATGAGCACAACATATAAAATGATTTAAAGTTGAAGATGACTGGCTGAATCTTGCCAAGAAAATGAAAGTAAATGATAGAATAAATTTCAAGGAACACTAAAATAGCACAACGATGGATCATTTGTAAACTAGAAAAAAGGTCCTTTATTAATTTTTAAAAAATAAGATACATTTGGATAATATCATGAGTTCGTTTGTATATTCTAAAAAATTTTATATCCAAATAACAATAATAATATGTTTGAACGATAAGTCAAGGTAAAATTAAATTTTTAAAAAATGGAGGTTATTTTTTGTAAAAAAATAATATAAATAATATGGTAAGTATTAAATATAATTTTTGATTTATATTTAAAGATATATCAACTCTAGCTAAATATTACATGAAAATGTATACGCAATATAAACATTGAAAAGATGAGGATTATACTTATAATGTAATAAAACTAATAGTCCTTCTATAGCCTAAATAAAGCTTATAGGCTAAAATTTTGGGAAAAAAATGAAACAAAAAATCCCATAAATTAAATTAAAAAGGCAATCGACTGGGAAGAAAAAAAATAGAAAAAGGAAATAAATTTATTGTGGATCTAAAAAATGCTCTTAGGTACCTTCCTTTCAGAAATACGGAGTCAAAAATGACCTCACTGCTCTCATTGAATTCTTCTATTTTGCTCCTTGGTTTGATATAAATGATTCAAAATAAAGAAAATATTTGTAAGGTAAGCGTAATATGATAAAAAATGGGATTAATATTAATGCAGAATATATTTGTGAACATGTATCAGAATGTAATATTCTTATTCAACAAAATCCCTATTTAAGATAAAATACAGAATAACAATTAAAATAAGTAAAATATATACGAAAGGAAAGTATTCAGTTTGATTATACAAAAAAAAAGTTTCAAATGATTCAAATAGCTTTGGAAATCACATTTTTTGACTGCATTACCTTTTCTTTTTAGAAAGATTAAAACCTGAGTGAAAGTTTACGATAACCAAGATAATCAATATGTTCAATTACAATGCCATGAGTCTTGGATAGATAATAAAGAATGTTTAAGATATTTTGGTCTATTTTCCTTTTGTTAAACTGATTAAATTCACTACTGCGTTTGTATCATCAGTAACAGCAACTTTGAATAACTCTAAGGTTTTAGCAGACTTAGTTTCAGTTATTGTATCCATTAAAGGGGCTATGAAGAATAGTGACGCAAGGAATAATATTCGATAACTAGTGAGCCTTGACTCCAATTCATTTTTTTTTTGTAACACAGTCTTCTAAAATAAACCCCCGTAATGTGTCATTATAGCATATATCATTGATCGCAAGTCTTGGGACTGAATCATATTATATACTCCTGATCAGATGATGGATAGGATTTGACAACAAAAGTATTACAGTATACTCATCAAAAATAGTGTCGTGTATTTTCATACGCAGTTCGTAACTGAGGTTTCTTTGCGAACTAAAAGAAGACTAAATGCTACTAGTGAAAAGAATTCATAGACTTTCCAAAGAATTTTGTAAAGACTTTTAAAGGTATAACCGTAATAGATCATAGCAGAGAGAACACAATAAATTGACCGGATGTTTATTTGGAATCCTATATTAGCATTCTTCATTTCGTATTAACAAATTAGTTTCATTATGGTAATATGTTCCTGTAGTAAAACAGTGCTTTGTAAGTACTACATTAATCCGAGACAACTCTGATTTTTGATAACAGATCTCCAACTGTTTGAAAATAGCTTTAACCATTTTTATTAGATTCAAGTACAGACACATGAGGATTGTCCTCATCCAGTGATGTTGATTTCGAGACAGGATAATTGTGCCAAATGGACAGCAACTTAAATCAAAAGAAGTCGATCAATTTCATATCGAATAATAAAAAAGAGCTAAACAAGCATGGAATTATTTAACAGTAGAAAATAGTTGGAACATGACGTATGAAATTAAAGATCTAAATCTACGCTTTTTTCGAGTATAATCTTAGCATAACTTTATCCATAATGACACGTACAGACAAAAACGGAAGTGCTTTCAGAATTAACAAATGTTTGATTTGTCTTAGTATCATTCGAAAAGGGTGCGCCCGGATCTTCCGAGTAAAATGGTATATTTACCTCTTTTTTTTTTTGAACGCAGCTTCTCAAGGTTAATGTCAAGATTTCCGTAAAAAAAAAAATAGGTAAGACTTGTCTTTTGGAGAAAACTTCATTATTTTTACAAATAGAAATACAATTCTGACATCATCATCAGTCACCGTAAATATTAGTTCGCCATTGTAGAACGGTTCATTGAAGTTTTTTCAAAAACGATGAAAATCGATCGTTATTTAACATACTCTTAAGGTGGTGAATTGAAATTTGAGCTATAGCAAAAGTAGTAGATAGATACGGTTCTTCCTCCAACAACAGATATACCCGATTGCGTAAAAGTTGGACATGGACCCACTGGTCACCGATAAATACATCAAGGATACCTTTGTACCCCATCTTCTGGAATAAAGAAATAAAATGGTTATATATATATATATATATATTGAAATAACATAATAATTTACCTTTGTCGTTGTTACTATTTTAAGTTTGCATATGTACTATTTTAGCTGTTAAAAAAAAATCACATAATGCTTAACACGCAGGTAATTTCTTAAAAGTTGTAGATAATATATATATATATATGAACTAAGCTTATAAAAGAGAATGTTTATACATATAATAAATAATAATAATTTATCATTTTTATTGTTCATTAATAAGGAAATAAAAATGCTAAAATGTCACAAATTGTATATTGAAATAATATATATACTTATTATTGATTAAATAGAAAGAGTATTCAAAGATTTCTAGAATAAATATTAGCTTTCATCAATTAAAATATTTAGATCATGACAATAGAAATTTTATTAAATAAATGGCCATATATATATATATATATATAATATATAATGCAATGCAAATTAATTAAACATTAAATACAAATAAAAAAAGGAGTGACTTTTGTAAGTATCATCATAAATTGGTTACAAATTATTCAAACACATAAATAATGTCTAATATATATAATAGTTATAATAATGCTCAATACACACACTTTTTTGTTTCAAGTAGCAAAAAGCATGCAAATATCATTTTTGTTTATCGATGAACGCATAAACAAGCACAATCATAGCTATCAGCAAATTTCAAATTAAATTTCAATGTATAGGTATAGAAAAATTACCCATTGGTATAATAGAGCAACTACTAAATATTTTTGCCCTTATATAACTAGTACTGAGAAACATGTGCGCTAGGTGAAAAAATGCTACTACTAAAACCCTCTTTGAATGATAGTACGAGTAAACAGGCCCCGCCACACCTACTTTTTAAAATTTTATAAAAGCCAAGGAGTTCTCACCATTGTGGCACCCCCCAAAAGCAATTGCAGCATGTGAGCTTAGAATCTAGTTGTGGCTGGCACCTCCTACCCACAGTATGATCCATGAGGATTTTAAATTGCCAAGATGAGTCCAAACATATTTAGGGCATATTGCTCAATACTTGAAATCACCATTGAGGGACACCTATGACTGTTAAAATTGCCCTTTTCTGAGGTGGGCCATCGCCTGAACTAGAATATGTCCCAATATTTTT